CCCCTATATGCTTATCTAGCTACTACAGGGGACTAGTCTATCGTGGTCCGCGTCTTCATCGTTCATATCTTCTTGGCCTGCGCCTAGTCCAAGCTGCTGCCCAGTTAAGTCTCATAAAATACAATTTGCATTCAAAACATAAGCTTAACTTTGCAGTAAAACGAAAAGACGAAATCTAAAGCACGCCAAACCTGCATTTTAGGTCAAAATCTCTCCGTATTTCCACAATATTGGTCAATTTTCTCCGCACGAGACACCGGCTGCAGCAGAGGCGCAATCTACGTAAGATAGCGCCACCGCGCAATGTACCGCCCTCTCTTGGGCTAGTTCCGCCAGTTTGTGAACTTCACGCTCCGCTCACGTCAGGCCAGTGAGTGCTAGTGACGACGACAATGAGGTGTCACGGCGTGGGGGAGGGAGGCAGTTTGTCGTAACCTTATAGCTGTACATTGATTTCCATTTCATTGTTGAGGAAACACCTTCATGCAAAAGTAACAGGTGCAGTTCTAAAAGCTCTAGTTCGCTGGAAGAGCAACTCTGCATGATACAAACCTCGATCGTTTTCATGAATTGCATGCGTGATGATTTTGAGGGCCAGGATCTCCCAATGCACAATAAGAGGCAATCAAATTAATTACTTCGACCGTGGAGGTGCGTTTTATTCCTCCATGCTTTGATATGTGTGTTGCATGTACAAGCATGATTACGAACGAGACCACGTTTCCCTTACCTCGTGTCTAGAAATCTAGTCGTTCTTTATTCACGCATCCGCAGCCAAAACCTCAAAAGGATTAAATGGTTGGACCCACTAATGTAATCATTATAAATAAATTTTCAAAATATAATAAAAATATTTTTTGCGTGCAAATCTTAAGCTCTGAAACAATGGGTATTCTTTTAGATACTAAACTACACCAACAAAGCATATGAAACAATTATCAAAACAGCGTAATGTATGCTTGCACAAAGAATGTTAGGATCCGAAAAACTCCAAACTATTTAAGAATAGTAATTATTTTAAAGCTTGAACTCCGATGCAACAAAGAAATCAAATAAGATTACAATGATATAAGGAACAAATAAACAAGTATCACTTAATGAAAATGTTACACTTAGCATGTAAAGATAATAGGTATTGCAAAGAAGATGCCGATTGGAACTAGTTTACAATGATAAGGATAAAGAAGGAAAGAATAGATCTTAAACATACAAGATGTTCTTACGGGCGAGAGCTTGGCAGGCACTACAGTGAAGGATGCTGGACTCCACGGCGAAAGCCAGTTCAGTCCTTGACGATGCCTAAATGTGCTGTTACAGGGACAAGACCACGTCGAATAAATGATCGAAACCATCAGCGAGGGCGTCATGACCGTTGCAGATACGGGAACTTGATGATCCTACAAACTGGAATTTCCCGGACGTACAACGAGAATATTCATGACTATATTGAGGTCATGTACATGGCTTGGGGTCAAACGTGGGTTACACACAGAGTCCTGTGCGGTACCATTATATAATCTGCCACACGTACAGGGTGTGTGTGTGTATACGTAACAATGAAAAAATGGCCAAATTACTGTATTTTAATATATAAACCAGCCCAGTTCGGGTAAACAGGTAAATCAAGGTCAAAGCTTGGAATTGTCAGACATCACAGTTAAATTATTATCCACAAAGCCACAGTCAACATAATTAGCCCTACGGTCCTCTACCCTATGGCTGAGTTCGGGCGGCTTGTTCTCGTACGTTCACGAACAGCTCGATTTGTTGTTCTTGGGTCGGCTGCTCGAACGCTGGGAACGTACAACCGGTTATCGCTGGTAGTTAGTCACAACAACATGCAACATGGCGGCGTCCTTGTACGTTATTCGAGAGTTAATGTTTGGATAACTGGGCTGAATTCTTTTCTGTTTAATTAAGCAGGAACATTCATTTCTGTGTTATGAAGAATAATTAATGTTACTTTTATTTCGCAAAGTTTTCTATTATCTCTGGCTTTGTAAGCCATCACTCTATTTTTTGTCATGTTTGCAGCAGTTCAAAAATCAAAATCTCACAAGTTTTTCGTGTGTTCTTGTAAAACCCTGACGAGGAGGTGGCGTGTGACCCTGTTCCGAGAACAGTGTCCTTGAGTCGTGTTCCCACCGTTCGAGCGCGAGAACAAGAAACCTGTGTTAAGAACAGGCCGCCCGAACTCGACCTATAAGTTTGATATATTTTACAGCCTTACCATTTATGTTAGTTTTTTCAGTAAGTCTTTCATAAATGTCAACGTTTTCAAAGTTATACTTCCAAACAACTGTTATTCACTGTTTTATAAAACACCTCTTCATCACAGATATTCCCGAGGGGAACAGCTTTCTTTAAAAAAAAAATCCCTTCATAGTTTTGTGGCTAGCAAGTTCATTTAAAAACGGTAGAATACGGGTATAGTTTCATACCGTACGAGCCAAATCCCACTCTCAAAGATGACTGAGCATGTTTTGTCTCTTTCCAATGGCTTCTTCGAACTTCCCCTGAAGAAACTATATTTCTAAAGAATACGAGTGAACATTTTCAATGCACGTTGGAGACTCATAATTTCCGGCTGTTAAAAATAGCTAGGCTCAGGCTGGAGATGCGAAAGACGCTGTGGGAATCGGTCTTGTGAATGGCGTCCAGGGCTTCCATGTCTTCGGCCGTCAGCACGAAGTCAAATACCTGAAGCAGACAGTGAGAAAACAAAGCTGGTTTGCATTTGAAATCGGCTCTAGGAACTTCGCTGCAAAATCTAGAAGCCCACGACTGCCCAATGACCAGCATCACTAGTAGAGTACATGAGAAGTGTCGTCCATGAATTTTATAATGGTCACCAGTCGAGAAGTTGGTGTAGAAACATTTTGTTTGTGTACACGTAATTTTTGAGCCTCTAAAGTTAAACTCAAAAACAGGCGGAGGTCGTGAGCAAAACGAATACATGAACACTTCGGCAGAGATGGAAACTTTACCCTCTTGGTGGCGCTCTGTACCCCCGCGTGACTTCGTATTCTTTGCACTTCACTTTTTTCAGTGGTTCATTGACATGTTAAAGGCACTATCGCCGCGTACCAAGATCCAGTTGATAGCCTTTCTACAGCCCTCCGAAAACGTACGTACCTTGCTATTTTCTTCCACGCGCTGACATTTAGTAGATTTCGGTATAGTTGCAATTCCATGCTGAATAGGGAAAGAAAACTAACAGACTATATACACTGGAACATTGTATAATATTGATCGAGTTAAACAACAGAATGGGGGACTTAAGGTATATTGTGACATATTTAACGAATGGGTTGCTCCATAACTTTATTTCACTGGATAGCGGTTATGCTGTGGAGGTATAGCCCGTGACTCGTGACCATGTATAGAGGTTCGAATCCAAAGTTGCATTCTGCTTGGTCAAGCATGCAACTTTAGCTTTAGGAGTTTAATTGACGGCCGGATTGCCTAGGATTCTGGCGAATGAGATCTCTATCTACCCATTTTTGAAACGCTTTCACTGACTTTTGTAGATGTAATGTTCTGGCATGAAGTTGGTTTCACGTACGTACCTGAAGAATCCATCGATTGAGAATCTGGCTGCTCGTTCTCTTGTATCTCGTGGCAAGTTCCATCACTCTTGGGTGGGTCAGCGCCTCCCCTCTCGCAAGTGGACTGTAAGCCTTCGATGGAAAAAAAAAGTGACCCGAAAATGCCGAACTGATACCTAGCTGAATCAGCTCCTTGTGGTTGTAGCTGAAACACTGCTTCATTAAGATATTTCCTGGGCTATTAATTTCACCAAGAATGGAAAAATGCATGAAAATTTTGCCTTAAGAACAAAGAAGGCCAAGAGATTCGAAAGACATATTTCATTACATTAACGAGTAGAACTCTAACCAACTTACCTAACATCAGAATTGTCACTGAATTTTGAAATATGGATAGGCCTATTCTACATGTATCCATTTTTTCATTTCTGTGAGATCCCTAATAATTTAGTTCTTAGCAGTGTTGTAGTCGAGACCACTTAAGACATTCAGAAAGACACAAAAGACCAACACAAGACCTCCAGTCTGAATTCTAGTCACAAGCTTTTCAAATGAACTGCAACAAAAGAATTCCTTTGTCACTGTTCACACTCTTGTGCATGGCCTTATGCGTGGTGCGTGGTCTTGTGTCTGGTCTTGTGATGGTCATGACTACAACACTGGTTCTTAGTTTTCGTTGCCTACCGTTGAATTATCAAACATGTATATAAACTGATCTAAATATAAATGCATACAGACCATACCACAATTTGCATTCCAAGACTTCTGCAATATTCAATGAGCTTTTGGGGATAGCTGAATATATGTATCTCCAGCTGAAACATGTAAGAAAAAAGTACACAATATAATATACCAGGGGCGACGTGGGACATTTGTAGGTTTCCAACATAAAGCTCCCTCAACAGAACGAAAGCAATGCAGCATTTTAAAAATCATTTTTTTCTAACCAAACATGAGTGACACGGCGACTTATGACAGTGTTAAGTCAGTCCTCTCATAAATACATCCTGCGAGGCACAACAGCGATATGTCCGTCCATTCAAAGCAGACTTTGGTCTATGCACAGCAGACTTTGCAGGATAGCAATTATCAGAAATCACCTGATTAACGTGCGGAACAACATTCCAGGTTTCTTCCAAATTTTTCAAGTCGGAAATCTGAAAGTTGCTCACTCCAATTGCCTTACACAGACCTAAATGGAATGCAGAATAACAAATACAGTTAAAAATGTAACAACCAAAAGAAAAATAATGCCCATGCGATTTAATTTCATTATCAAAGGGCACTTCGATTCTCCTTCGATTTGGGCAGGAATTCCACTTCTGGCACCATCACTTTCCTTTCGATTGTACCTTGTGAGTAGAACTCCTCAAGCGCTCTCCAGGACTCACTGATGAGTTGCTTGGTGTTGGTTCCTTCTGGGGAATAGGGCCAGTGAAGCAAGTAAAGATCTACAAAGGAAATAGACAAGCCAATCATTTCAAGAGTTCAGGCTCTTTGCGGGTCAACACTACACAGCAAATCAATGTTAGGCGCGTATCCAGCGTTTTGCTTGCCTTAATTAAATAGGCCTATGTTATGACAACACGAGTACTCTTATGGCCATAATACAGAATTCAAGATTTCATCATATGGTTTGGCATCCTAGTTTCCATTTATGGGTGGCATTCGTAAAGCACTCGCGGGTTTTTCTCCGGGTTCTGTTTTCCCTCCTCCTAAAAATTCAATGCTTTCAATCTCTGGCTGTGTTCCGTGACCATGTACAGGCCGTCAGCAGCTGGCCTTTACATTCCTTTCGGCTCGACCACGTTGTAGATGCGTCTTTGCAGTTGCAGCGGCACTTATGGCGGCAAGTAAGGATGATCTGGGCTCGAGAAAATAAATGCAGATAAAGCTCACCAAAGTATTCCACGCCTACTTGCTGGAGTGAATCTTGGAATGCAGCCCTGGTCTCGTGGTAGCCATACTCACTCGGCCACAACTTGCTGGTGATGAAGACCTGCTCCCTGGCGACCCCGCTTTTTCTCAGGGACGCCCCAACCAGGTCCTCGCACCAATAGCGCCTGGCCGTGTCGATGTGGCGTACGCGGCAGTGTCCTAACGCATGCACCACGGCTTCGTCGCTGTAACCGCCCGTATGTGAAGTTCCTTGTTAGCAAAAGAACGTACAGGAGACGCTTTGAGACATTCTGCCTGAACGATTTTAAGGTTTGTCGGCCACAGTGGGCCTCATATAGCATTTTATGATTCGCATATACATGTACTTTAAAGTTCTCTGTTAATGAAGCATTTTTGTGATGACTTGCAAGGTTCATATAAAAAAAGAGTGGAGAGCTGACGGCCTGAACAGGACTATTTGCTGAATAGAACTTGGCTGCTAAAATTGCTGCAATGTGCAATAGAGTGTGAACATCTGTTTTCCGTTTACAAAGGGCAATGGGCTTACCTTCACTAAAGTTACGGGTTTTATACCCACAAAAACGGAACAAAAAATGGAAGATGGGCAAATAAGGTATAGGCGTGTGGCCCAGTGGTTAGGGTCTCTGGACTCACGAGCACAGGGTGGCGCTCTACTCAAGTCGCTGGTTGCATGCGCCGACCTTTGGCAAGTCAATTTACTCCCAACGTGGAAGAATAATGCTCCAACACGCCTCTCTCCACCCAGGAGTATAAATTGGTACATGTGAGGGTACAGATTATACCCCCAAAACTACGGGGTCCGACATTTTCCGTCCCTGTTACCTCTGACATGTCTATCATCCGACATCTTTGACAGGGATTGTGTCACTGAAATTGATTTCAGACTATTTTTATTTATTTGGCAGGTAATTTGCAATACTTATTCAGTGTTGGAATTAAACAATGAGTTCTAAACATTAAAAAATCATACGCAAGACGTGCTGGGGTCAGAAAAACAAAATGACCCCAAATTGACCCTGATTGCCGTGCCACGGTGTTTAACTTAGCCATTCGTGCCAGAAATGGCAGCGTCAAGATATCATGCCTCTGTTCTCCCTTAACTCTGCTAAGATGCACGGCTATTAGAAAAATTTCCGCTGCTCGGTGAGCAGGAAAAATTGTATTTTCTGGAAATTTGGCCAGTGCTATATACATGTAGATACTAGTCCATTCATTAGTCACCCATTTGTTTTAAATGTGTGTCTCATTTTTCTTATTTTTGAATGGAGGTTATTTTGTCAATATGCCTTAGGCAACTTATTTTATAGTAAATCGACCATCGGATTCGATGGTAAATGCTGGTGAACAACGAACGACAAACGACTACCAATAGGCCTTGACTATTGAATACCAATAGGCCTCAGTTAAATCATGCAGCGACAATCGGCATGGGTCTATTCACGTCACGTAAGACCGCGCGGTTGTTGTAGGCCTATGCTATAGTACATGTACAGTGCATGTATACACAGCTAGCCGTGTGCGACACGTACTGTGTCAGTTTCATTGATAGAGTTTATGTGAAGCGTCCTGTACGCTGTATATGTACGTCAGGCTGTACTTTATTCTGTAGTATTGACAGTACGGGCCTACTAGTCTTAGGATATGTACATCAAATAAGTCCCCACAGGGTACTCCATCAGTCCAGCACGCTCGCGTGTGTAATGCATAAAGATAACAGTCACGTACCTATTCCGAGGACAGGCATCTGGACTCCATTAGAGAGTTGTAATTGTTCGATTTTCGGGTCCATTCCAGCCGTTGATTTCGACTCGAAGGACTGCACAGCTGGCTAGGTCATATAGTTATAGAGCTAGAGGCGCTCGTAGGATCCAGGAGGGTCAAAGGGCATGTACGTACATGCTGGAGGAAAGGCTAATGTCGGGGCATGCAAGCCCAGTGCGTGGTGCCGCGTTTATCCATGGTGTCCCAAAGATAAGAGACATGGACAGTGGTCAACTTTATTGACGTCAATGTTCACGTCCAATATTTGCCCCAAGTTGCAAACACGGACGTCGGTGTTTGCGTCCAGATCAATCGACTCGATCTCCAGTCGAGATTGTCGTATGTAAGCCAATTTCCATGTTGATTTTGGCGCCCCCGCGCGACTAACTTACAAAGCTATAGAGGGGATTGACGAATTGTCTACAATAACAATCGCAAGCATCCATTCGTCAAACGTTACGCAAAGTTGTTGTCGTGAATTATTTTGTTCTCCTCTGTTAAATCGTCTGAGCATGCGCACATGAAACGTAAAAAAGGCGTATGTTTTTTTCCCCCAGTAAGCTCCAGGTGTGAGGTCAAGTCGACACGCGCACGAACCACTCGATCTCGACATGAGTTGGTATTCTGCAAGGTAATGTCGACACAAAGCTAACAGTGGAAAACAGCGCCCACAAGCAACTTCTGAGTTCAAATGCCTGAAATCTACATCAATCTCCACATTTCCACAAAATTGGTCAATTTTCCACACAACCTCGATGGGACATAACGACTGGCACCAGAGGTGATTTTCCACATCGCACACGCAGTGCACTGCCTTCTCTTTGGGCTAGTTCTGTAAGCCATATGTGGACTTCATCATTGTTCAGTCAGGCTGGTGACTGACTACCATGGATCTATAGCTCCGAGTCTGTGTTGACGACGAAGTGACAAGAATATGGTGTCACCAAACTCGTCGGGGGGGGGGGGTCCAGAACAAAGTAGAACGTCCATGCGTGTCGATGTGGCATACACGGCAGTGTCCTAACGTACGCATGCATCATGGCCTCGTCACTGTAACCGCCTGCAAGTGAAGTTCCTTATTGACAAAGTAGCGTAGACGATATTCTGAAGTTGTTCCAAAATAATTTTAACCTATATGGCCTCCGTATACCCTCTAGTAATTTGTGTTCAAATTGTGAACCAAGAATCTATAAATTCACTGAAAACAATTCTGAGATAGGACGCACAGCGTACTTGCTATTGGCGCTATATAGTACATATACTTTTTAAACAATCACTTATCAAAGAAGGGAACATTTTAAGGCTAGCAAAACACCCGTTGAAAAAGAAAAACTAACACTGAAAAGAGGGGTCAACGGGAGGTTAATCTCAGTGTACTACATTTACCCTCAAGGACAGGAAGTCTTTCCCCGACTCAACTTACTACCAAAAATCGAACAGAATATGAAAAATGCACGAGGATGTAAGCTTTATTCGATGCGTGTCTGCAGCTATACAAAGTTCACATTATTCTTAATACTTCTTTTCTGCGACGATATTTATCAAACTTTGGTATCTATGGGATACCTATTTACGGTTTCCTGTCAGATGTTCAACTCGACCATACTCCATGCATTAAACCATCGGACTATAAACTAGTCGAGTCGACTGTCATGATAGCACCCTTTGCATTGAGCGAATGTCAATAGACAAGTTGAAGAAAATGTGTGATTGATCGAGGCATTGCTTGCCTCACAAAAACCACCATTTTACATTAATTAACACCGATACTCTGAACACTTCGGGATCATCGACTCTTGTCGACCACTTTCCCACAATGCACTGCTAAAAGTCCTCTCTGTGGCAGCCTCTTGGTGGTGCACGACAGCGTGAATCGCCCGTTTCAGCCATACGTGTTAGGGTTATATGCCACCTTTCTGCATTACAAAACATACACACTGCAGAAAATTTAAAAACAACATCAAAAACATCGATTGCTTTTTGCCTCCACTGTCTGTGCTGCAAGCGGAACTCGCGTATAACGAATTTTTGCTCACTTTGAAACATAAGCACCCAGGTTAGATATTCGATCAACAAACCAGGAATGACCGGTCTAGTGAATGGCGTCGAGTGCCCTTATGTCCTCCGACGACGATGGAAAGTACCAAATTATACAATGTACATGTAATAATGAAAGAAATTTTTGTGCACTTAAATTGGCGCGAGAAACTGTGTAAGTTGCAAACTCTAGATCATTGTGATGTTGAGTACCACTTGCAAAGAATTCCCTCAAATTCAACTTATAAAGCAAAAACCTCCCAGAGAAAGTTGACTCTTCATCATTCCCGATTAAACACAGCTGGGCTAGAGATGCGAATGACGCTGTGAGAATCGGTTTCGTGAATGGCGTCCAGAGTTTTCATATCTTCTGCCGTCAGCGCGAAGTCGAAAATCTGCCCCGGGGAACGAAAAAACCAAACAGATTGAATCAGTTCCAGAAACGGCAAAATCTAGAGCGAGATGCCCAGCATCGCTTGTATATATATATAATATTCCGCGTTTAGTCTCCCCACCTCACCAGCCTATTTGGTATAGTATTTCACTTATTTTAGTATAAATTTGCACTATCAGCATGGATACTACATAAAAGGTACGAATCAAAACACGTCGAGCTCTTGCGCAGAGAGGAATCCCGTTAACAGACTTTTGGTACTGATACTTTTCCAGTGGTACCTGGTGTATAAATTCCCTCTCAAGCACTAACCCTCTCGGTGGCCCCCCGTCCCTCCTCGTGGACCAGTATTCCTATGTAATTAATGGTGAACCGTGTTTCCTGTCTTTGTTTAACGTCCCACAAACTTTGGGCAATTGAAAACCTTTCCGCAGCTATATATACATACCCTGCAGTTTTCTTCTACGCGATGACATTTGGTGGATTTTGGAATAGTTGTAATTCCATGCTGAGGAGAGAGAAAGAGACAGACAGACAAACATAATTCAAATTATACGTCGTGCAATAAAATCCACGAAATCAAGGGCAGTTGCTGAGTAAAAGATCCCCAGGCAAAACGAAATGTGGGACTCCGAGTTGACCAGTTGGTTATGGAGGTTTGATCCCACCGCAGTGGCGCACCCAGGATATGTCGTCGGAGGGTAGAGTGGGCTTGGATTAGAATTAACCTCCATCCAAAACTCATGATGCTCAAGCTCCTTCCCCCCCCCCGGTTGCGCCTCAGTGGACTAAGATGCACGGCCATATCGGTGCCAGTAATTCAAGATTTAGATATCAATACCTTCGATTTGCACAATGGGGGAAGGGGCACAAGACCCCCGATACAGCCCCCCTCCGAAGGAACCACTGCTCCGAAGATGAGTCTTTAAATGGATAAGCAACAGAAGCCTGGCGAGCATCTAACAGACTGCTTAGCATCCTGGCGCATGTATTCCCATCTTCAAAACCCTGTTACAGCTTTTGCGAATGAACATGTAACCAAAATATAACATTATGAGGTTGGCCTCATGTACAAACCTGCAGAACCCACCGGTTGACAATCTGGCTGCTTGTTCTCTTGTATTTCGTGGCGAGTTCCGTCACCCTCGGGTGGGTTAACGCCTCCCCTTTCGCCATTGGACTGTAAGCCTTAGATTGAAAATTCCAACAAAAAAACCAAAAAAACAATTGCCCGGAAATGCCGAACTGAAACAGACTCCTTACAGATATAGTTAAATCACTGATTATTTCTTACAGACTATTAAATTATAAATGTATAAAAATCATACCACGATCTGCATTCCAAGACTTCTGCAATATTCAATGAGCTTTTCGGGATAACTGAATATATGTATCTCCAGCTGAAACGAACAAGAAAAAGTACATTCTTCTAAGGGCGTACGTAGTGGCACATAATTATGTCACTTCATATTTCCAACATGAGGCTTCCTCAAAAGAACAACTTTCAACAAAGTTAACTCTTAAAATGTCATTGTTTTTTCTATCAAATTAGAATGACAAAGGAATTTGCGTTAATTCCATCCTTCCACGCATTCACATCAGACATGCATCACATCAGCAAGTGTCCGTTCGTTCAAAGCAGACCTCAGTTATCAGAAATTACCTGATTAACGTGTGGAGCAATATTCCAGGTCTCTTCCAAATTTCTCAAGTCGGAAATCTGGAAGTTGCTCACTCCAACTGCCTTACATAGACCTTATTGAAATACAAATATCATGCAGTTAGCATTATGGGCGANGCACTGTCAATTCTAATGCGATTAAATTTCTTCATGAAAGGGAACCGGTTAATATCTAACTTCAGATTCAGGATTCAGGAACCATGTTGAACTGATACATTGTGCAAATTTGTGTTAAAGGAGAACAAATCCCACTTGTTACACCATCCTTTTGATTTTACCTTGCGAGTAGAACTCCTCGAGCGCTTTCCAGGACTCACTGATGAGTTTCTTGGTGTCCGTTCCTTCTGGGGAATTTGGCCAGTGAAGCAAATACAGATCTACAAAGGAATTAGAGAAGGTATTCATTTCACACAAGAATTTCGGATTTTAGGGTCAACCTGCAAATCAACATCGATGCAATGTGACGAGGGTGGCGAAGGGTTTGCTTGCCTATAGTAAACTGGTAGATTGGAAATGAAAAAGGGCTATGATGACGCCAGTAACACACCAACATGGAATGTATTTGGTACACAGAATATAATGCTTTTATCATTTGATTTTGTTATCTGGGTTTTGTATTTATAGGGCTGTGATTCATTTTTCCAAAGTGTGTCTACAATCGGTTTGTTGTCTCATTTGCCGTTACATTTATGCCACTCTTCCCCAACTTGGCAGTGCCTCAAATTTAACTAGTAATAGCAAATGGTTCAACAAAATTCGAAGCTCACGATACCACGGAAGAAAGGCGTATTAGGGGGGTCATTGATAAGGATGGAAATTTGGTAAACAGGACCAAGATTATTTATCATGATCATGTGCAGTACTTTGAAACTTGCCGAAAAAGAAATTCGAGAACGAGTTTTCATGAAGCATCTTGAGTGGAACAAAAGACCCTTTAATCTTACTCCACAATGCCCGCTGCACACGAAAGCTATCTGCTGAGCAAATCGCCATTAGTGGTCATTTGCTCAGTACCAAGCACATCCTCTGCGGTCAAGTTTTGATGTGTTTCCTGTCTTGCAAAGTTGTTTCACAAGTATCAAGAAGACGGTTTGAAAAGTCGAACCGTGGCGTTTGAAAGTTGAAGAACGTTTGAAAAGTTTAACCACCCTAATTTGTAAGTTGTCCCTAGGCGTATCAGTGAAAAGTTGAGCAGTGACGTTTGAGAGTATTCAAAGAACATGTATGTGGTTTGAAAAAAAGGGAACTCGGCGTTTGAGAGCTGAACTACGTTTAATTTTGCTCGACCACTTTTGAACAGCATACTATCCTGCTCTAAATTTGAGCAATATGATCTAGCTACCGCTAATTAAACTCACCAAAGTATTCCACCCCTACTTGTTTGAGTGAATCTTGGAACGCAGCTCGAGTCTCGTGGTAGCCGTAATCACTCGGCCACACCTTGCTGGTGATGAAGACCTCCTCCCTGACGGCCCCACTTTTTCTCAGGGACGCCCCAACGAGGTTCTCGCATCGGTAGCGCCTGGCCGTGTCGATGTGGCGTACTCGGCAGTGTCCTAACGCATGCACCACGGCTTCGTCACTGTAACCGCCTACATTTGAAGTTCCTTGTTGACAGAGTAACGTAAGAGACATTCTGAAGTCGCCCCAAATGATTCTAAGGTTCATGGGCCACGGGCTTGGTTCGCATATATACCCTAAAATTCTGTCATTGGAGCATGCAACAAAAAAGAACTGTGGGAAGCCTGATCCTGACGAAACGCTTCTTAGGGAACTCGATCTGAACGCAGAATAAAATTAGTTTGAAAAAGAGCTCCTTTTAGCGGAAACTCAAGTGAAATCCCGATACAATCCAGTTAGGAAAATTTTACTCCAATTCGTCTGGTGTCTAGTTTCAATCGGATGAGTAAATCTTCAGTCGACTGGAGTGAATTTTCACTATACATTTATTTAGAAGACAGCGAACTTCATTTGAAACGTATAGACGAACCTTGACCCTAAAAATGACTCCATTCTGCATAGGAATGTGGGCAACCTCTTTTTTCAAAATGGCGATGGGTTTACAGGACGGCACCTTTAAAGTGTAGCTGCAAATAATTCTTCTCCAATTAAGAGAAGCTACCGCATTTGACATCCGTATAGGTTACAAAGTTCAAGCAAACCTTTGCAAACTTTTATATATTCATCCATTGCTTTCCGAGACAAAGGGTGCTGTTGCTATGATGTCATCCGGGGAAGACATGGTTCACTGCAGGTATACCTGCTCAAATTGTGAACCCAGGATTCACTCACTGAAAACAGTTCCGTGGAAGAGTTGATTGCTTATTGCTATGTGCCTATACAACAATGAATCCCCAAAGCCAAAATTTAGGTCAGCCAAATCCGAATCCCCAAAGCCAAAATTTAGGCAGCCAAATCTGGAAGAGAATCTGGAATTTTTGTGAATAAAATAAATGCAGCATTGGGCTTTTCTACCTAGGATGACATCGCAGTTTTGCTCTGGAAATACTCATTAGCATAAACCCAAAAAGGCAGCTTAACACCTTTTGAAATGGCGAAACAAAAGAATTGAAGAAGAATTTACCTGGGACATTTTGGAAGTTTGCCTGTAAAAATATATAGCAGATACATTGTCATATACCCCTTCAAGCGGAAATCTCTCCCCGAAGTAACGGGCTTGCCCACCAAAAATTGCACAGAAAATGAAAAAGATTTGTCTCCGACTCTTTTAACAGCAAGGTATCAACCAATGTTACCATGGGCAGTTTCTTTTCTGTACCGGTAGTTACTGGTATTGTTTTAAAGTTCAATTCGACTATGATTTGACAATTACTCTTGATTGATAAACAATAATAGAGTACCAAAGTGAATACGTCACGCGCACAATTAGTGTGTAAAAGGCATTAGTGCGAGAACCACGGGGCGAACCAACACGCGCGCGTACTCCAATCATTTGCACTGCAATTTCTGGTTCACAGTGACGTCACACTTCAGTACTCTAAATGAAAAAATATTTCCAATATGCACGTTTAAGCATATTACAGCCAGTTGGCAGAGGCCGGGAACCACATGAACATGACACCATCGGATTGGACTGTCAATTGACCATGACAGCTTGCAGTAAGCTAGTTTTATCCATCAAGAAATGAGACCGAGGTACCCCCCCCCACATGTCCAATCGCTATACACACTCTAGACTATTGTTATCTAACACATCCCTCCTAGATGTCTGAAACGAATTCCTCAGATTTCAGTGAAACAATGAAAAACAAAAAGCGGGGGGCTCTCTCCGTCTCATATCTTGCTTCGTTATGTAGTTACTTAGACGTGCACTGTAGCTGTCAACACAATGCATTTTAGTTCTTATAGTTGTAGGCCCACATTATGTCCCGCACAAGGACGGTACTACACCGAAGCCTCCTTTCTCATCGATCATTCGTGACAATGCGATAGATGTAATGTACAATGTAGACTCCAAGAGAACAAACATGAACAGAAGCCCGAGGGCAAAGGACGTTCCTAACCCCGGCGAGCATGGAGGTAGAGCTTAGCTAAGGCCGCGGCCTACGTGTACCTCCATGGTCTTACGTACGCACAACGATCACCTACCTATTCCGAGAACTGGCATTTGGACTCCATTAGAGAGTTGCAAGTATTCGATTTCCGCGTCCATTTCAGCTAATTAAGATTCACAGAGGCACTGCATCAGAGCACGCACAGCTGGCCAGCTAGGCTGGGTGCCGAACGTCAGTTTTTACTTCATTATGTCTGTACATGTGCATGTGGCGGGGACCGTCTACGCGTACCGGCTAAGCTCAAAGGTTACGTCACGTCAAGGCTGTAGCCTTTTCCTCGAGGACCTGTAGTGTTGCAGCGTTGTTTTATCCGATATAAGTGTCTAGTTTACACAGGTAAAAGATAACGGAAAGCATTGACGACTAGCGCAAGTTGTGCCACACGGTAACCCTTCGTATAAACATACGGCGGAAATGCACTGTTACATGCAATACGGCCGTTTTACAGTAGAGCGCCTCCAAGAGTTTGTAACGCGTTGACCAGTAAAGTCACAATGAGCGAAATCTATCGACGTACCCAATGCGCGTCTGGAAAGAGTCAACAGATTTTGCTCATTGTAATTGGTCAACTCGTTGCAAAGTCTTGGAGGCAGACTATTGTGAATCGCTTGTATCGTCCATTTTTGTCTTCAAAATTTTTCTACATCACTGTGACAAATTCGGTATGTGTTACCATGGTTCCAATTCAGTTACGCTGAAAAAGAATCCGATTAAACGTCAAATTTTTAACTTCGATGATCCTCCAAGGTACGATACTGACAATTACACATTGCAATAAGCCAACCCCCCCCCAAAAAACAAAAACAAAACAAAACAAAAAACAAAAACCCGCAAGAAAACAATTGACAGGTTGTGTACATAACATACTGAACACAAACTGCAGTCCCTATAGATCCACTTGATACACAAAAACAGCTATGTGGAGTCGGAATTTACAAACATAGCATCAGTCTGTCATACTAATAAAATTCATGAAACTGGTTCCTTTACATTACGCTATTTAGTCAGTTTCCACAATTACAAGAGTAAACGAAAAATATTAAAGTGATATTTAAGCCTATAGGGCCTATACTTTCATTCAAATTTAAACCAGCAAATACATACTTCAGGAGTAATTCATTTCCAAATAATGATACAATTTTCAGTGTCGGTGTTTTAGTATCTCGCCCTACACCTCACTGAAGTTGTTCTCCTGAACCCCCTCTTCCAGACGTACCACTGTATGATTTGAGCCTGCCTCAGATATTTCGGGCATGCTTATCCAGCAGGGTTGGAGGGGGGGTGTAACTTGCACCTATCGGATAGAATTGTTTCCTGTTGTTTTTACAAACAATACTGGTGAGCAGAAAATAGAGTACTCGGTATATTTATTTATCAAATATTAGCACCAAAATCCTAAGAAAACATCACTAGCAAATAAAAGCAAGAATGTCGGGACAGTGAGTATAAGGCTTTTGATTTCTTCTCCCCCAGAGCAAGCCCGATGAGCTTTTGAATTTGCCCCAAGTGACACCAAAAGCTGTGCCACTGCTTGGCCAACTGCAAGTATTTTGGAAACTTCAGCCCCAACTTGTTCTCGCTCGGCTTAGTGCTTGACTCCATGCCGTTTAACGGTACATCCGTTACTACGTACTTGAAAGCCCACATGCTCACTGACCTCTCTCAGCATCATGTGTGTGATGTTTCAGATCCATGTAAGAAAAACAATTACACATACAACAGAATTCTGAAACATTTTAATAGAATACATAAAGATTGCATGTGAAGGATACCCTCCACCAAAGCAAATTGGACCTTAAAAATAAAACAAGCCGTGGTTTATACACCACAAATAAAACATCGGTATCCAGTAAATAGATGCCATCTTTCTGCTTTACAATCTAATAACTGAGAAAAATTTCAAACATGAATATCAAAAACATTGACTACATTTTTGCTTCCACGGCCATTACTGCACGTGCAACCCATACGGACGTTTCACAATAGTGCGCAACAACAAGAGTTTGCAACGCGTTGGCCAATCACAATGCGTGACATTTGTCGACCCAATGCGTGTTTGGAAACGGTCGACAAATTTCGCACGTTATGATTGGCCAACGTATTGCAAACTCATGGTGGTGCACGGTATTGTGAATCCCCGTATTATAGCCGGACCATCAGTTAAGGACCTAAAAACATTTTGTCCTCCAACCATAAATCATTTTCTGCATAGAAAACATGTCATTGTAAGCCAGCTGAGTTAAAGATACGATCGACGCAGTGGGAATGATCAGCTTCGTGAATGCCGTCGAGCGCCCGAGGTCATGTCTTGCCGGCGACGACACTAGGAAGTAACAAAATATACCTGTCCCAACAATGAAAGAAACGATTTTCATTTAAATTGGCCCTACAGGATCTCCCCTGAAGTTAAACTAATTCTTAAAAAAAGGGGGGGGGAAAGAAAGATTTTAAAAAACCCACTGTTTGGGCTTCCCAGGACACGTCGAATGCCTATCATCATTCCTGATTAATTAAAAACAGCCCGACTGGGGACTGGAAGGACGGTGTACGGCTCGGTCTCGTGAATAGCGTCTAGTGTCTGCATGTCTTCCTCGGTCAGCACAAAGTCGAAAATCTGCCCCAGAGAACAGCAAAAACAAAACGGCTTTTACGTATAAACTTGAAATCGGCTCAAGAAACGTGATGGCAAAAACTTCAGAGCACAACTTGAACGTGCAATGTCCAACATCACTTGAAAGTACACAAATACTGTCCATAGATTTAATCACGTTTCGCCACTTTAGTTGTTTATTGGATTTTTTGAAAATTCGTTTATTTCAGTTGGTTTGGTATACATGTAATTTATATGCATAGTCCGAAATTCACTTTATTGTACGAAAATATATAAAGGCTAAGCCAATACGCCGACTTGTGTGCAAAGAATACCGTTAATTTTACAATCTCTCAGAGGCGCTAAAGGTACACCCCCACGTGGCCCAGTATTTCTTGAATTCCTTCATCCCTCCGGTCATTAGAAATCACAATAGCAAAATTGTTTTCAAGGTAGTGCTACCTCAAGGTTTTCAAAGGGGGTGGTGTTTTATGTCTAGGGGTATTGCTTTAGTTTCTTATATTTTGGTGTGTAGGTAAATATAGTTTTACTTAGACTATGTAATTGTCTATCTTTGATTGTATTTTTCTTTTTATTCTTTAATTGTAATTTTAATTCAGTGGTCTAATTGTGACTTTTTCCTGTGATCTGTGTTTTTTTTGACTGGGATAACAAATTTCATGTTTCTTACATGACTTTTTAATAAAATGAATGAATAAATTTAACGGTAATCTAATCTTTTCAACCTCGATCCGACCAGACTTTGTCATTCGGGTGCCTCCTCACTGCTGTCAGAGAACATACCTTGCAATTTTCTTCCACGTGGTGGCATTTGGTGGATTTCGGAATAGTTGCACAGCCATGCTGAAGAGGAAAACAAAATGGCTGTAACGATTGGAGAGTCTGAGACACTTGGTGATGGCGGCAAACATAACGGTCCTTTTTTTTACCCGTTTGAGGATGCACGCGTTGCTCTCAGCGTGTGCCATCATAATGTCTGGGGCATGTGTACGGACGTATGTAAAAAACCTGGACTTGCAACGCCTTTGTATGAAAAAGAAGCCACCCAACGGCCATTTTACCGAGCCAAATACAAATGCGTGGGTTGGTTCCCTTCTATTGACCTCAGGAAGAACAAAGGCGGGCATTACCAGGAAAGCTTTGTATTCGGCTCGGTAAAATGGACGCCAGTGGATTCAATGATCTCTATAAGCTGATTAAGGGCATTGCGAGTCCATGGGCATGTGTGCATAAATTTGAGCATGCGCAATACTGTGAAAAGACAGGTATGCCTCCTGCCACCACGTCTCAAAGTCTCCCATCATCGTCCCCTTGACAATGGGGACAACTTAGGGTCTGTGTGAAATATCCCAAGATTAGAAAGATAATGAGATAAAGATAAATGTATAGAGGCTGGAATCCAAGTAAGATTGAATCCTTCATAGATCAACATTAACTTTGGTATGGCGGTTTGCAAAGCTTTCTGACGGATTCGATCTATCTATTCCCGTTGCAAACTTACCAGGGATCTTGTGAAATGTATTTACAGGTAAATTTATTACTTTGATCTCACATACGAACCTGTATAACCCATCTGTTGAGGATCTGGCTCGTCACTTTCTTGTATTTCGTCGCAAGTTCCATCACTCTGGGGTGTGCCAGTGCCTTACCTTTTGCCATCGGGCTGAAAGCCTATAGAAGAATGAAAAATTGAAGAAGTGCCAAACTGAATTGGTTTCTTGAAGGTACGGATTAAAACCATTGCTTTTAAAAGTCTTTTAGAGGCCAGTTATTAGTAATTAAAAAAAATGGAATCTCTCAAAACCTCACGGTCTTTGTTAAAGGCCGGGCATGTCAAAAATAACTTTTTTCTTCCGATTTCCACTTTCGGAATATATTGCTTTGAAACGTCGTACTTATTCTAAATTACATCACTGATGCTGGGGAAAGCTTCTACTTAACTACATTTTGCGTTTTCACGAAGAGATACAAACATTCCTTCCCCCGGAACATGTACAAAACGTATAGCCAGTAAAGGCCTACAAGTGAGTTTCGTTTTCACGAAGGGGGACAGCTAGCACGCACACGAGTAAACTGCACGCCCTTTGCTTGTGGAAAAACGCACTGAAAGGAGGGGCTTAACTACAGTTAAACCTGTTTCGTTTTCACAAAGGGACATGTGCCTTTACCAAATAATGAGGGATTATGTGATTGTGTGGTCTTGAACGGGCGTTTCAGAACTGCCCAGGAGAAGAGACGAGACTAATGCCCGAGCCGCAGGCGAGGAGACCGACCAAGCACATAATTATTTGTTCCCATTCCAAGGATTTTGTTCAAGAATTTTACTTTCATTTTCTCGAACACCCCTGTCCATTTTGTGGAATATTCCTCGCGCAAATACTTCAGAAGAATTTCCTTATATAGACTTGGCGCTTGTGACGCGCTCTGTGTGCCGTGGCACACACAGACTCTAGACCAACAGGAATGGATTATTGTCTCGTAATCCAGGTGCCAGAGCATTTTCACGCATCAGCGGGCATTATCAAATCACAGCGAATATGATCAGTCGTTGTTAATAATACATTTACGTTGCCCGTTGTTTAATAGGAAAACTGTCTGAGGTATATTTGAATTTTAATTAACCCGTGTTCATTCTAATTAACGGGTTCACGCAAACTTTACCTTCCAAAGAAATCGTGTGAAGTTTTCTTTACTGAAGAAAGTAGTTTCAAAATAGTAGTTTTTGAAGTTTGAAATCTGGAAAGATCTTTCTTACAATGTTTCGAAATTTCCCACTTTGAAATGCATTTAAGTGTCCCTGCGTACAAACGGTGTCAAAGAGAATGTAATCTGTCCTACAAATTCGAAAGAACACTGTTTTGTCAAGTCCCTTTTACCTGTCGATGCATTTTTGTTTTCGTTGATTTGACATAAGAGAGTTTAGGTATAAAGTATTGATAAATGCATAAAGATCATACCACGATCTGCATTCCAAGACGTCTGCAATATTCAATGAGTTTTTCAGGATAGTTGAATATGTGTACCTCCAGCTGCAAGATAAAGCGAACAAGAACGATAATGTCTATCATATTTTTAAACATGAAACTTCTTCAAAAGGACAAATGTGACAAAAGTAAAGTTTCCTGTTCCCCATATAGACTAAGAGTGACACAACAGCTTAACTGTTGTCAATTTTAATCTTGCCTGTCTTCATTGGGCTCAAAGTATAAAGTCCATCTACAGATAGCATACATTTGCAGGTTGACAAACCTAATAGGAAGTCACCTGATTAACATGCGGAACAACATTCCAGGTCTCTTCCAAATTTTTCAAGTCGGAAATCTGGAAGTTGCTCACTCCAATTGCCTTACACAAACCTGAAGGAAACGCAAAATTATATTGGAAGTTAACAATATGACGATCGACGTACAAATTAATCGTCAATACAGGATTGAACCTTCACTTTGCTGATAACCTAATTGTCAAAGAAAAATCTTACAAATGCTTGGGAGTTATTATTTACAAAACACTAAGTTGGGGTCCACATGTTGATTACGCAAGAAAAACAGTCTCATCTAAATTAGGTATGTTAACTATGTCGGGCAAAGTAGCCTGTACACACTTTTCATAAGCTTAGCTATACCAACTTGAGAATACTGTTGCACGGTATGGGGGAAGATACATATCCCTTGATACCACTCTTAACAAATGTCTAAAAAGAGCTGCATGGATAATCCTCAAATGTACCCCTCTCACCCCCTCAGCGAATATGTTTGCTACACTGAACTGGGTGCCATTTTCTGAGAGAGTTAGATCTAAAAAGACTGTTCTTGTTTTTAAATGTCTAAACAACTTGGCTCCTATGTATGTGACAAATCTGTTTATGCCATTAAAACCAGTCGTGAAACAAGATACTCGGTTAACAAGGCACTTAAAGTCCCTTTTGCCAAAAAAGAATGTTACGCTCAAAGTTTTGCGCTGAAAGGTGCAAAAATATGGAATAATTTGCCAAAGCAACTCAAAAATTAAGCCATGACCAGTGCCGTGTAGTCCAAAATGTTCATAAAATTATCCAGTGTTCTTTTTTCCCCAAAGGCTTTTTTTTGGGGGGGGGGTTCTCCCATCCTGTGATCAGTATTTAATTAATGCCTTGATTATTTAAATGTGTATGATACTTTAGTGGTCTGTATTTGTAAATACTAAAGTTTGTCGTATTTGTCAATTTTACTTTTCATCGTGAGTTTCTATTTTATTAATTTGTTATGATTGCAAGGCCCCAATGGAAACCAGTTTGTAAGTATTTGGGAATACCCTGGGTAAAGAAATGGAATTATAAAAAAAGCCAAAAAATAAATAAATAAATAGACCGTCAGCAAATTGTAACGCAATTAGATTTCTTGTAACAAGGGGCATTGTTTCATTTCTTTCATCAGATCAAACAAGCGCACACATAAAACAGGGATCATGTTAAACGCAATCAGTGCAATATGGAACAAAATCCCACTTCTGATACCATCCGATTTCCCTTTTATTTCTACCTTGTGAGTAAAATTCCTCAAGCGCCTTCCAGGACTCACTGATAAGTTGCTTTGTGTCGGTTCCCTCAGGTGAACTTGGATAATGAAGTAAGTAAAGATCTACAGAGGAGTTATAGAAGTAATTCATTCAGATAGGGTTTCACTGCTTTAGGTCATCCTAAAAGTAAAATCCAATGCACAGCCTGGAGAGTAGTCTAATTTTGTTTACTGGTAGTGGAATGTTTGTGTTATATTGGATGATAACCGAAAGAGGAAACTCGAAAACAAGCTGGCATGAACCATAAGCAGAGTTGTAGACAAGACCGTCTAAAACTGACTCCATACAACACTGTCATTAATCTCGACAATCAAAAATTTGGTGAAAGTTGAGAAAAATCAGTGCCAGCCGTACCATGTAGTAGCATGTAGTCTCAAAGGGGGGCTGCAATCAATTCTTGTGATTACAATCCTCCAATATGCACCTTTGTGCCCTGGATAACGTTATTTTCAACTTTTATTTCCTGATTTCAAAGGCTAGTTTAACGCCTTTTTGTTTTTTTTGCTGAGTATTTTCATATTCATAAGCAAAACTGTGATGTCATCTCAGGAAGAGGCCTCAAAGTTACATTGATTTGTACACAAAAAAGTCCTACACGTTTGTAGATTTTCCTTGACTCAGTTTTCTCTTCCTAGCTGATTCATTGTTGTTTATGTGCATAGCAATACGACCAATCCCTCTTTGAGAGATGTTTTCAGTTAGTAAACTCTGGGTTCACAATTTGAACAAACACATATGCACTGAACCATGTCTTCCGTAGATGATTTCACAGCAATAGCGCCCTCGGTTATCCAGAAAAGCATGGATAATTTTAATTGTTTAAAATGTGCACTTTTCAGTGCATTTAACCGAAATAGGAGTGTGAAAGAGTTTTCATACAATGGAGAAGAGTACATAGATGCAGAAAACTTGTGCGTAATCAAAATTCATTGCAGCTACACTTGAAGGTAATTTCAAGAACACAGACGTAAATCGAACAACCACAATTTTTTTGTCATCAGTGCAGCTGGAACTATACCAAAGTAATAAAATGCTTTTTATCATTTAAACTGAAAGCGATAGTTATGATATCACCGACATGTAAGCTCACCAAAGTATTCCACGCCTACTTGTTGGAGTGAATCTTGGAATGCAGCCCGAGTTTTGCGGTAGCCATACTCACTCGGCCACAACTTGCTGGTGATGAAGACCTGCTCCCTGGTAACCCCGCTTTTTCTCAGGGACGCGCCAACGAGGTCCTCGCATCGGTAGCGCCTGGCCGTGTCGATGTGGCGTACGCGGCAGTGTCCCAACGCGTACACCATAGCCTCGTCACTGTAACCGCCTACAAACCATCGAGAGGTTCCTTATTGACAGTAAAGAGAAAAGATTCCGTTTAGTTTCTTCAAAATGATTTTTCAGGTTCACAGGCTATGATTCAGGCATATCTTATACATTTCCATATTACCAGAGCATTTAATGGTGAAGTGCAAGGTTGATACGAAATAAGAGTGTAAGACCCGAGCAGAATGTCCGCGAAGAGTGGTGAAATCTGAACCTCACTCCATTTTGCCATGGAGCGTGGGCACATTTTTTATCAAACTGACCCATGGATTTCAGGGCTACTTTTAGGGTCGGAGATCTCTCCCCATTAGAAATTCAACAGAAAATGATCTGAGAAATTAGAAATGGCGTGTGGCCTTCAGTAGGTTTAGGGTCTGTGACTCGCAAACGTAAGATCAGAGGATTGAATTCAGCTCCTGGGTTTTCATTAGGGCCTTAGGAAAGTTGCTTTACCCCCACTTTTGTCTTAGGAAAGTTGCTTTACCCCCACTTTTGTCTATTCACCCAGGAGCAAAAAAGGCTAAGGGTGAAGATTGTTTTATTTGATTAGCCGTTTGCGCCAGGAATGGCGGCATCGAGCTGTATAATACTCCCCAGGGAGCAGAGAGGGTGTTAGGAATATTTGTGGACTGGTGAGGATAGATAATAAGAATTGGGCACAGTAAGTGTACTTTACCATTTATTACATGTGACTCAAACATTTTGTTCAGTGGAAATATATGAATTCATAAACATTTTCCTGACTTTTAAAAGGAAACATGCAGTGGATATCACTCAATTAGTTTCCAAGCTTATAAGACGTTTCACGTTAATTAAAGTGGCAGTCAGCATATGTTAGAGGGCGCAATTTTTCAGTTGTCACACAAGGCATTGTACTGGCCAAAAAACATGATAAGAAAAAGTACAAGAAATCGTCCCTTGAATGAGTTTTAAGAAATGTTGGCCTTTGCTATTTTCCAAAGAGGCTATTTAACACAGTAAAAAAGCAAAAATTGAAACTTAATCCAAGAAAATGTTGACAAGTATGACATATATTAGGATACATATACAGAGCTGACGGTTGCTGTTCCACTTTAGATGACATTACGCTTTAACTCCTGAATATGGAAATCTATTAGCATGAAAACCGAAATATTTTCCTATAGGTACTACCACAAAGGAGAAGGAGATCATCGTGTATTCCAGTCATAAAATGCAATGTCAAGTCTCCTTTAACCCTAAAAGAATCGGGGGCAGAATCCATCCCTAGACTTGTTTCCGATATCGAAGCAGTTTATTTTGTTCAGGAGCTAAACCTTTAGAATTTTTTGTTAGAATAAAACTCTTTGCGGTCATTTTGACACCAATTTTGTGAAAGTAGAATCTACCGTTTTTGCCCAATGCACCCGGGCTGGCACGCATGCAGCCTTGAACTTCAAATGATAGTAACAACAAAACCATACATCTGATTGAGTTCAAACGTCACATTTGTAACGAGTCTTTACATTCACATAGAATCCGCCCCTGGCTGTGAGATCAGCCCAGCCATCTGGCCTTCAACTTCAAGGGTTAGAGTGAGGCAACGGTTGCCTATGGCAGTTTAGTTGGTTATGTTGGTTTTGATGTTTCCCAGTAGAGGGGCACGTACATGTACACAACTGACGGGACTTCTCACGAACATCCAACACTGAACATTGTACATGTACAATGTACATGTACACGTCGAACACAGCTGCGTTTACTGCGTGCATCGAGTGCTGATGCAAACATCCTGTACACAAATTGTATGTATGTTATTGCACGTCGTTCTCATGTTTTCGTTTTTTTGTATGCCTGTGTTGTATAGAGTGTTCAACAAACCAGGCTGGACGTCTGGCTGGGGTCGTTCCTTCTTGAATATACTGTGAACATTCCTCAGTCTCGCAGTAACATTTCTAATGCATAATAAACGACAGCCACTTACCTATTCCGAGAACAGGCATTTGAATCCCATTAGATAGTTGCAGGTGTTCCATTTCGGCATCCATTTAGCTACGTTCTTTCGTGGACTTGAAGCACGGAGCTACCGGCACTGCGCGGCTTGCTGACTGGCTGGCTGGCTGTCAGTGTAACATTATGAACTGGTTACGTCATGCCAGCTTAGACAGAACGATCAAAGGCATGTCTGCCTGCGTGCTAAAGTGAACCTTATTCCCCCAATCACTGAACACCTACAGACCTTTTTTCACCCACGTGATTAAATGTAAATGTAGCAGGGGCAGATTTAACTTTGTACTCAATGCAAAAGTCCACGCACTGTATAGGAGTAGCACCCTAGTCTACCCATCCTGAAGTTTCATTGTGGCCTTCATAATAATTGTTTACTTGATGATGACCCATGCAACTGCATCAGGCACTGTGGGCATGCTTTGAGCCCCAGACTCAGTAAGCAGCGCGGCAGTCAGTGGAGTAACACACCTATTTAATACCAGTAAAGTTAATCTGTAATATTCTGTATTGTAAAAAGAAAAAAGAAAAAAATTACGCCAATTGACTGCTTTTGGTGATAGATGACACTTTCATTGTTTTGAGATATTGTTTCATCTTTACTTACATTATTGGCCAAGTGTTCTTTTGTAAAATTTGGAAGATTTGAACCAAATTCTAGCCAGATGAAGGTAACTTTTACAAGGTGTTTTGATCATTGCTGAAAACTTTTGGGCTACTCGGATATTTTTTGTTCTTGTTACTTAGCCTGTTTAAATATGAAGATAGTGTTTGTATTCGCCTATGGGACATGCAACCATACGTATGAAGCCAAACCGTGGCGGTTGTGTTTGTATTGCGCGTGCCCATTGTGTGTTAGACTCCAGTTGCAGCCGTTAATCGGTATATCAAGACCTCATTAGCCACGGTGATCGCATAATATTCCACACGTATGTTCAACCCCTTCTACTTAGTTTGTGCGCATGCGCTAAAATTCGGCAAAGTCATGTTCCAAGTATGTTCATACTCCTCACTTAATGCGCATGCGTACTTAATCCCACTATAGACAGAAGCCTGTAAAATGGCTCTTGACTCGGCAAGGTGGACCCCAAAAGTAATCAATCAATCAACATCAAGCTCTGAAAAAGTTGTTTGCCCCTCATTTCCATACTGATTAGTATTTAAACACTCAAAGTCCCTTTTGATAACTTGCACACGAAAAAAATCCTATTTCTTCCAAATTTTTGCCCGTCTTTCTTACGTACCTCCAAAGTAACAGAGACATTAAGTTGGAAGTGATTTGAAGACAATATTTTAGAGGGGATTTTTTCAGTTTTGCCGAGTTTTCCCTGACACTTCTCTACTTGTAAATAGCCTGGAATATCATAAACGCTCTCAGAAAGGATCATGCAAGAAGGAAACCGTATTGATGAAAACGGAAAATTTTTGTTTATGCCTGCCAGTCGGGCAATTTGAAGTGATTATATTTTACGTACTCGTACCCAAAGGCACTCGTATCCAGAATCTGATCTGTGTAAGCACATGTGCACCATGCCCAAAATCCGGACATCTCATCATACCGCTGCCAAACTCAGCTCGTGTGGAAATTTGAATCCACATGAAAGACAAACTGCATTTCAGACAAATGGCTCTCAATCTTGAAAAAAACTGATAGATACAAAAATTATCAGTTTTCCAGACAGTGTCACCGAAGATCTGAGGGGAATTCGAAAAAGTGTGAAAATTGGGCACTAATTAAGGTGAAAAACACGGAAAATGACGAAAATGGGTCCCAATGAAAAACGAAGTGAATTTCAAAAAACGGTTTTCTTTCTAGAAGTAATAACCTTTTTGTACATTTTTGTACAAGAGTTACTAGTCTTTCATGTGGCATCAAAGTTATTTGAAGGTAAACTCGGCCAAATTGTGAAACCTAAACACAAAGCTACGTAAAAACGATAATTTTTCATAATTATACTTTATCGAAAAATTGACATTTTCCACTTTCTTTGATTTTTTCCGGCGATCTTTTTCACCAGAATCTATTAAATATCACCATTTGATAGACTCTTGGCAATTTATTCAAACAGGAGGTATTCATGGGAAATGGCAGTACAATCCCCCACGTGGGTCACCGCCGATATACGTCGTCTGCTGTAGAATAATTGTTCAGATCGACGAGGGCATAGGAGTGAACATACGTGTCCTACGGTCAGCTTCAACCACGTGCAAGCGCACATTCGACCGCTGCATGCTTGATGACTAGTTTATCTTCAATAGGTAGATTATCATCACAACACTTTGCACATTACCATCACAATCGTGATATCACAAGGAAAAGTCTATTTTACACGCAAGAGAGATATTAAAACGCACATTGATGGTGTTATGCTGCGTGGTATAGACCTTTTTCCTGTGATGTCACAATTGTGCTTTATTCCCATGAGTTGTCATCCCAACCCATGAATTATCACGTACAAATTGACAAACGTTGTTTAGTCAGAATTCCGCAATTTTGCAGGTTGGGAATAAGATAATTATTCAGTATCTATTCACAAACGGCAGATGATCACAGCCAGAATAATTTACAAACAATGTTACAATTTTAATGTCAAAACCCTTGAAGCATCTCGCCCCACACTTTTCCCCTCTACGTGTTCATTGTTCTCCGCTCCTCAATCCTCTCTTCCGGACCGTCCCTACCCTCAGTCTGCCTCCTCATACGTGCCGTTACTTGATACCCTATTTACTTGGACAGTGCTTAGTCTTGAAGTCAACCATATCTCATTTTTTTCGACATGCCATACGCTGCTGTGGAATCACTCATCCCGTCACTTCGTACGTGAAACCCACTGTGCGTGTATGGACTTGGTTAATAATTGCGAGTTAAATTAAATGTCAGGCCTCTTGGACTGGACACTTTTACGCTGTATGGTGCACAATGGAAAACACTTTAAATTTCGAAAACATTTTTTAAATTGAGTACATATCAATGCTGCCCTTACACGTTTGAGGCACCCCCCAAAAGCGAATCAAACTGCAAGAAGCATATAGTTTACACAACCAATTTATTGTATCGAGTTTATAAATGCTGCATGCCTTCCTACTTTAAAATGAACTCAACTCGACTTGCAGAGAACCTGTTCAAAACTTCCACCGGTCTTCCTGACTTTTAGATGCGAATGACATTTTTTTGAAAGGACAATCATTTCGGAATTTGGTATCAACAATGTTTTAAATTTCAAATCCTTTTTCCAACTACAAGATCATCATTCCCGATTGAAGGCAGCCGGGCCGGAGATGCGATCAACGCTGTGGGAATCGGTCTCGTGAATGGCATCGAGCGCCCTCATGTCTTCTGCCGCCAGCGCAAAGTCAAAAATCTGCCCCAACAATGAGAACAGGAAACGGATGTCCATCAAAATACCATCAATATTCGGCACAAATGGAAACTTTTCCCCGTGATGAGTTACGCAAATTGGACTCTCCCCCCTTGGTGGCGCTCTCTACCCTCTAAAGGCCCAATACAAGCAACCACTGCTTTCGTTGACCACTCGGGTCATTTCGCTTGTTACGCAGTGATACATCCCATGCGTGGGTAGGCTAACCAGAGGAAATCGCAACACTGGTAAAAAATGGCACTAGCAGCTCGAAGTTGCCCTTAATTTGCAACTGGCCAGGTAAACTTTGTATTTTTCTCCCGCCAGAACTTTTACTATTCAGTTACCTTTATGATACTTTCTTTACCTTGCAATTGTCTTCCACGCGATGACATTTGGTAGATTTCGGTATGGTCGCAACACCATGCTGAATAATGGGGAAAAATGCGTTCTGAATTGCTTTTGATGTTTACGATGAATTAACAGCCATCACTGCGTGGGAGATCCTCAATCGCAAGTGACAATTAAACCATTCCTGATCTATAACTGCATTTTTAGGAGGGGTCGACATACATTTTGGCCTAGGATATAAGAGGTTTGAATGCCCGTTAGCAGCATATCTTATTAACGGTCAGCTCTGGAATGAATGGTTGAAAATACTGTGTAACATTGGTCTACCCCCCCAAAAAATAATTATCAACACGCATACGTACCTGCAGAACCCATCGGTTGACAATCTGACTGCTCGATCTCTTGTATTTTGTGGCAAGTTCCACCACCTTTGGATGCACCAGGGCCTCGCCTTTCGCCAATGGACTGTAACCCTTAGAGCGAAAAATGGACAAGGGCGCCCAGCATGTGACTAAATAAAGGAACTCCTTGTAGATGTCTGTAAAATGGTGCCTGAGAGAGTTAATTCAAAGTGTATTTACACTGAAAACGTCCACAACGGACATTTTTGTCAAACAAACTCGGGTCCAGCAATACTGGCGATTCACAGTAGTGCGCCACCAAGAGTTTGCAACGCGTTGGCCAATCACAATGTGCGAAATCTGTCGACCCAATGTGCGTGCGGAAAGGGTCGACAGATTTCGCCTGCGTTGTGATTTGCCAACGTGTTGCAGACTCTTGGGGACGCACTGCGAATCGCCCGCATTCAGGAGAACTTGTGTTTCAACAATGAGTGAATCTTCCACCGATATTTGCGTAACACCTATATTGACACTATTTAAACTGATATTTTCTAATTCGTGCGAGATCACCATATACTTTTATGGTATTAATTTTTTGGTTTTATTGATAAGAGTGGAAGTGGCACAGTAAAAGACTTTTCTCTTCCAAGAAAGGTGGCACATATTACGCACTATTCCGTTTCTGAGGTGTTGACTCTTTCAGTTCCTAAAAAAAGTCAACATGTCTCTGGGGAGGTAACTCTCCCCCACGCAGGACAGGTCACTAAAGCTTGGGCTTATAAATTGGCCCCCTCCCTGTGCAAGTACTTTTATACTGTCATACCACAATTTGCATCCCAAGACCTCGGCAGTAATTGACGAGCTCTTCCGGGTACCAAAATATGTGTATCTCCAGCTGCAAGGAACAAAGACAAGAGATACAATAAGAATAACATATTCAGGTTCAACCAGAAATGTCTGATAAATCGCAAATAACATTGGGGAAAATAACCAATGACATACACTGTATGCCATAGGAACACCAATCAGACGTTACACACAAGGATTACCGATTCTGCATGCGGTTCCCATCTATACAGACAAATGTTTGCATTTTGAGAATAGCCGTCGTGATCACCTGATTGACATGAGGAACAACGCTCCAAGTTTCTTCCAAATTTTTCAGGTCGGATATTTGGAAGTTGCTAACCCCAATTGCCTTGCACAGACCTGTAAAAAAAGCAAATACAGATGTAGAACTAATTACCATGAGCACGTTTTGGCACGATCAGATTTCTGAAACAAAGGGCACTGTTTCATCCGTAACGCCAAATCTCTGAGCCATCACTTCCATTTCGATCGTACCTCGTGAGTAAAGTTCTTCAAGCGCTCTCCAGGACTCACTGATGAGTTGCTTGGTGTCGGTTCCTTCTGGGGAACGAGGCCAGTGAAGCAAGTAAAGATCTACAATAAAAAAGGATTTGAAGCGCACTATTGTGAATCGCCCGTAACCCAACACATCCTACCCTGTAGTAGCTACTTCATCCATCAAGATGATGAGATGATGACCATCAAATAATACTGCTGATGATTGTACTGCCGACGCGTTGAGACGTATTAGGGCGTCCATTTTAGGACGTTTAGTCTGTATATGGTCCATAATTATTATTTTTTTTTAATTTACGCGCTGAAATTGTATTAGGAAAAATGACTTTGAAACTCACCAAAGTATTCCACGCCTACTTGTTTGAGTGAATCTTGGAATGCAGCCCTGGTCTCGTGGTAGCCATACTCACTCGGCCACACCTTGCTGGTGATGAAGACCTCCTCCCTGGCAACCCCGCTTTTTCTCAGGGACACCCCAACGAGGTCCTCGCATCGGTAGCGCCTGGCCGTGTCGATGTGGCGTACTCGGCAGTGTCCTAACGCATGCACCACGGCTTCGTCGCTGTAACCACCAACGCGTGAAGTTCCTTCATGACACAGGACAGCATACAGGAATCATGTTGAAAGTGCTCCCATCGAGATTATTTTAAGCTTCTGGGCAATGTAAATAGGCCCTAAATGTCTCGCACAGATTCCTAAATCAAATAGCATGCTAAAATCTTCTGGTAGAGAAACTTCGTGATGAAATGCTGGGTTTGTAAAAAAAAAAGAAAGGCGGAAGGCTTGAGGACATGAACTTTACGTGAACTTTGAAGAAAATAATTGACCCATCAAATTTGCCTTCTTTTGCAATAGAAAGTGGGAATCCTTTTTTTCCAAAATGGCAGTGGCCTTCAGGACTCCTTTTATTGCAAACTTTTATTCATAATCTCAGTCCTGTTCAGATGGAAATTACTCCTAATAAATGCTACCCTAAATGAATGAAATGATGAAAGACAAATAAGTCCTGTTTGATGCGTATACTTCATATTTATATTTTCCAGACTTGGTTTCTTCTTTTTTAAGTGAGGTCATATTTATTATTGCTGCCCTTGGCAGTTTATTCCAAATATTTACCAGTTATTTACTCAGTGTTTCAAAGTGGCCATGATTTCACAGTTACCGCTGTGTGAACTGCATCACCAAGACTTATTGCGTGCATATACGTTTGCCAGTGGACGGTGCACGCACTAACTTGATACATCTTAATTAGAGTGGATCTTGCGAACTGCTACCCGTATGGTTCGTTCTTTTTAATAACAATTACGCAAACGACCGGTACAGTTAAGGACGCCATAGTGTACTTTGTCCTCAGTACATTGATACCATATCGCTTGATGTAGGCCTATACACCAAACAAGGATGAACTTAGGGCATTCTAACCTTTACCATGAAGACTTGTGTCGGAGTTATTTCTCCAGGCCTTGACAACTGCGTGTGTTATGCACACAGAATGGCAGTCACATACCTATGCCGAGAATAGGCATTCGGACTCCGTTTGAGAGTTGCAAGTGTTCAATTTTCGAGTCCATTTTAGCTGGTTTCGTCTCGGAGGCACGGTCCACGGCTGGCCGAGTGACGATCACCGATGGCTGAATGAGTCGGGTCAAACAGCACCTGCCTGCACGCACGACTCCATATGAAAAAATTTGAACCCAACGTAGAGGTCATTGAAGCCTCCAGCGGCCATCTTACCGTGCCAAATACAAAGGTATAATACAAGGGCTCGCTCGCCATTGTTAACCATGCAAATTCATTCGTGGCATCAGTAGTTTCGATGGAGAAACCCGCTTGATCTTTTTCCTTTCTTATTCCAATTCTTACCAGAGTTGCACAGACCCATGCGCTTGCTCCAATTTTAGCAACGTTTAAAATGGAGGCCAATCATTAACTCTTCCAAAATAAGTTCACGATCCAAGGAAATCAAGCCAAGATTTTAGTCTCACATTACAAGACACAAACGGCAAGAAAATATCGCATTTAAAGGGTGTGTACGGTGTACAAAATAAGGAATGTTTATGAGTGATAAGAATAAGTTCGTGAAATGACAGATGGAGTAGTCGATAGTCTGGAATGTAACATTTTATCTGTCACCGAATTAAATTATGAAATGTGAAACATTCATTATTTTTAAACAATACCTGCATGAATCCTCCTCTGTTCTGAGAAACAATTAACGGTTCTCGCGTATTACGTCCGTGTAATGCTAGACTGGTTATCGTACTGACATTTGCAAATGAATGTGAAATGGGGGCGGGAACCAGTCAAGTTAAATGAAACTCTATTCAACGCGTCCTGTTGAATAGAACAAATAGTTAAATAACATGTGATCAAGGCAGTATTGTAACGAGTCACTACATTTGGTGACTTGAGTCGAGTTATTTTAACGTTGTGACTCGAGTCGAGTCATTAGGTCAAAAAGTCAACTCGAGTCACTTTGTGTAGTCGATTCAAGTCGAGTCAAGTACTAAGCTTGAGTCGATTGGAGTCACAAATGTGTGAACGAAATACATGTACAATAAAAACACAACTACATGAAAGTCATTTTTGGGTATTTTTATTTTCATTTAGACATAGCCAACTGAAAATAAATTAAGATGACAGGTATATATCCAACAAAAATCTTGCTTTTAATTTTTTGAGACTCGAGGCTGATAAGCTTGTACTCAAGTCGAGTCTCCATGAAATATTAGAGTCGAGTCATCGACTTGACTCCAATCGAGTAATTTACCCGTCGATACCCGAGTCGGGTCGCCGAAATTGTGACTCAAGTTGGACTCGAGTCGATTTATTGACTGGAGTCATTACAACTCTGTATCAAGGATCCATCAATCAGATGAAGCTGCTCATAAAGCTAGTACTCTATTCACAAACAGCGAAAATAGAACTAGAAATATGTTTTAACATAATCTCAAAGAGTTGTCAAAGTACATGCTAACACAATTCCATGCAATTAGTTCACAAAGAAACCAACGTACAGTGAACTTTATTTTCCAGTTATATAAAACTACAATTAATATTAAGCAGTATTTATATCCTTAGCTACGCGAAAAAAATAACTCAGTGAATAATATTTAAGCAGCGATACAAGTTTAGAAAATAGCACACACGAACTGTTATTGTTCCAACATTTAAAATATCAGCTTTTTTTCAAACGTTGCTTTAATCCTTTGTAAGGAAAAGCCAGTATTCAATAATTTGACTAGCGCTACCCTCAAATCCAAATGAACCAAACATATTCATTCACGCTGTATTAATATTCAAAGACTAGTAGCCAGTACCTAATAAGGCAAGGAAACTGGTATGATGGATGAAAAATGGAATGTCAGGTAAATGTATAAAATCCATATGAGATCTGACAATCAGGCAGAGAGCCGCAGATCGAGCCAGCCGAGTAAACCACACTAGCTACTGTACAACTTTGTCCCAAGACATCTTCTTGTGTCGATCCAAATAACCTGTCGGGTTATAGTTCTGAATGGATAATTTAACAAAAGACTTGTCAATGTAAGACATCAGAAAAAATCTGTGTAAAAAACTAACTTAGGCCTACAGTACAGTGCTTACAGTACAGAAAATTTAGAATGTCTTAAAAATCCAACATCTTTTTCATATCTCACAAAATAGACCTGGGTAAGTTTGCAGTTCTAATGTTTACAGTTGATAGGCCAAGATAGCGACTTCCATATGTGTGTGTTGTGAAAGCACCATTAAAGTTAGAAAATGCCCAAAGACAAAGGTAAAAAAGAGGCAAAGGTCACTGCAGATAATTTTTCTAGTTTGTATAAAGTCAACAAACGTGACCTTGCCGTATCAGTAAATATATACTCCTCACAAAACAGAGCCGTGACAAGCACGATCAGCGGTGACTCACTAGACTGGGGTAGGCTGTAGCCGTGCTGTTTCCCTTTGGCGCAGGCGGCGAGGAAATTGTCTTGGCAGTGGACGGCCCTGGCCCGCACAAAGACTGCTGGGTCACGCTCGGCATGGTCGTCACTTTGGAGCCACCTGGGTGTCTGATGACATCGATAATCTGTTTTAAAGTGATACATATGGGAGTGTCAGCAAGGGTTGTCTTTTAAACCACAACAACCATTACCGTCAACAGAGTCATAATCATAGCCAGAAAGTGTTTCTTTTTTCGCCTTTTAGTGTTTGAAAGTTATCAAAGACTATCAAATTCTAAAGGTTACGGTTACAGCTTAAACCTTTTATTATCAACATCTTGAAAATCAACATCCTGGTTGTGGATTTAGGTTCATTGCTGTTGGATATTGTTTCTGAACAGCCTTTGAGTGGAATCTCGCTAGAATAGGACGCCTACTACAAGTTGGTGGGGGATTCTATACCTTGGGCGTGAAAATAATGAGCAGAGTGGTCGTGGTGCTGACCAGGACGCAGAGTGACGTCACAAGGAAAATGGTCTCGGTCTTCAGCGGGTCCATCAGCAGGCTGAAGATGGCGCCCACGCAGGACAAGATGAAAACGTTGTACACGGACATGCCGATGTTTTTGGAGTCATTCAGCGCCGGAATGGTCACGTTTCTTGTCTCATAAGCTGCAGCCATATACGGGTGTTCAAAGTTGTGGCAAGACCTCGTTACATATTATACGAACCATGACGAGTGCACGAATTTGAAAAAAGATGCTCTTTGTTAGTGGAGTTGATATTTTATTTATTTATATCGGATCATCCAACAGTGCATTTAGCGCCGATTACAGAATGATATTGACGGCGAAGAAGAGTCGGGATTAATACCCCAGATTAATATTTTGGGGAAAACCCAGGGACTCAAGCAGGGACTGATAAAAATTATGTTAACCATGACCAATCAGTTGTTCAACCAACTGGTTCTAACAATGATGTTTACAACGGGCTTCAGTCTAACAAGGTTTTCCAGCCAACTCTGAACGAAAACAAAATTCCATTTCTACCCAGAAAAAGTCCAAAGACGAGCTGGACGCCGTTGAAGATGTAGATACCAGCCAGCCAACTGATATCGGTTACTCCATGCCGAGTGCATCGCTGGACCACGGGTATCAGCATTAAATCTTTCTCGACTGTCGCCTATGAGGCATGTGAAAGACGTGAACCATAATTACGAAAGCCATATGATAATGCACGGATATATGGTCTAAATAAAAAAAAATATTATTTTACCTGTGATTAAGACAGAGTGGCATTTCGAATGCAAAGGATAATTTCTAGACCTGAGGGCAAATTTTAGGTACCCTCGATCGTCCATTATTATCGAACTAGGCCCTATGTTGTAAAATTTCGTCCTTTTTGGCGTTGGTTGCAACTATTTTGTCGTCCACTGTCAACGACAGCTTTTTTTGGGTAAAACTTGACCCAACCCATTGTTTGGGTAAATATCCGGTCTAAACAGTTTTAATTTCTTTCTTTTATTTCTACCCTCCCAAAGCTCCACTACAGTCTCCACGTAGACATAAATCATACGGTGACACATCCTCGAATAAACCTGTGTGTTTTTCTTCGAAAGCACCCAAAGTTCATTCGTAAAACCAATCTATAAGAGAGAGCGTCTCTGACTGGGATAGACATCACTTCTCATCCGGTCCCATCCGTATTGATAAATGAGATCTGCTTTTCCAGCGTTGCGACTATGCCCCAAGAACTGGTCCCAAATGGTCAACTAAAACACGTAGACATCAATTATTCTGATGGTGTTGGTCAAAGTGTCGTCGCTCGAACCTGCCGAACATCTGATTTGCGCATATTATAGTCCACCCTTTTTCTGAATTTCGCCTGCCTCACCACCCTGTCAACGAGCGCCGATGAGCCGCCATTCGGTTCGTTAGAGACTACTGGTACACAAGCACTCTACTGATTACGAACTCCAATTGGCTAATACGCCAACTTTGCGTCACTTCCGGCTCCAACGGTTCCAATGCCATAACGTGTACGTAGGCGTGATCTTAGGTTGCAAAGTCTTCACCCTAACGAACGTGATTTCACGGGTCAAGTTTAACCGGTGGCCTTTTGTCACTACCTCCAATATGCGGTTTAGTCTTCACAAAAAGAAGCGAACGAAATGAGATGCTACTGATGCCGTTTCCTACAGGGCGTTAGGTTCTTACCTGGGCCTCATAAGCATTTAAGACAGCTACCAAAGGTCTGATCTCCCACACACCAAGGTACAAACTCTCAAGAGTGATGAAGACACCCACCATTGTCACTAGCTGGTAGTCCTTCACAGCCTGTCCACATATGCACAAGAAGAAGGGAAATATCAGTGCACGTCTTATTGTTTTAGGATACGCCGACTTCTGGTCCGTTTTATGTTGAACAGAAAATTACAAATCCTAGGCCGTGTTTCAACATAATGGGCTACGACAAAATACAGCAAGAGTTGAAAGGTCGGTTCATAACTCTTGCTAATGCAAAAGTGACATAAATGTGACCTCCGGAAGCCACATTTGTCTGTTTTGTCAGTTTCATAGTTTTTGGTTTTCCATGAATAGTCATCGATATTAAGGGGGCCTGCTCTCAAAAAGCTTTGCTTTTTGCGGGTCTCCCTTATCTCATTACGGCAATGTTCTTTGTTATTGTCCATTGGCATTTTGGTTGGTATAAGCTAAGCTAAGCTAAGCTAAGCTAAGCTAAGCTAAGCTGAAACATTGGTGGTCTCTCACCAAATCCAGCAGCGAAAACCTTCGTGATATCAAAAACAGTATGATTACAAACAAACAAAGTTTTTCTTGGCCGCCCCAGCATCCCTTTTGGGAAATGCTTTCGGCAGCATCACAAAGCTGCTGTAAACATAACTTCTCCCGTTTTTTTCCCAACTTGAAGTAGGGTCGTGGATGGTTTTGGAGCACAAAGGAACTACCTTCTTCTCGAGTTTCTTGTTCATGAATATGCTGTGGACACGCCACGTCTTTGAGAACATGGAGCCGAAGCTGAGCGTAAAACCTAAGGCGAGCATCCACAGTTGGGCCTGTAGGAAAATTCGACAGGGCCACAGAAACATCAAGTTAGTCCGGCGAACTTGGCACCATTTGGAGTCCACAGTTTACACGAAATGTCAGTGATATCACCAGGCTTAATGTGGAAGACAGCAGGCAAAAATTAGTAAAGATCTCTGTCACTTGGAGTCGCCCTATATAGTACCTTTTTGATTAATAACTTTCCACACTACTGGTTGCGAAGTATTCGCGACTGAAATTTCACAGGTATAAATCCGCAGGCGCTAACCAAAACTGTGACCACAATTTGTGCAAAGGGAAAGGCCAGGAACTTAGTGTAGTGGACTTAACTAACAAACTGAAACATCATCGACACACTGATGAATGGCTCTATGTTTATTGGATGTTAGATGCTACCGAATCGAGGCTGACGAATAACAACTGCTGAGGGCAGCATTATTTCATCTACGGTGGATTTATTTCCAAGTAAAACTAGCTACTGTGGACTTTTATGAATGCCTCTATGTTGATGGAATGTTAGGTGCTACCGAATCGAGGCAGACGAATAGCAGCCGTTGAGGGCAGCATTATTTTGTGGATTTATTTTCAAACAAACTTAGCTACGGCTTCCAATGCTTCAAGCGGTTTTCTTACGGGTAGAGCGACCCGAAAAGCGTTTCATACATGATTTCCATGCATGATAATCACAACTCAAAGCCGAGAACTCACCCTGCACACGTGGTCCATGTTCTCAGCGCCAACTTTGTCCCGGTCTAGGCCATTTAGGATAACGGAGATGTACGTCATGAGGCTTCCCATGATGATTAAATTGTTGATGTTGGGACTGGAAAGCTTGATGATTCTGGAAAGTAAGTATTAATAATGCATCAAAATGACAGCCCACAATAGAAGAATAATGACTTGATACTCTCCTCAGTAACAGGCAGACAGAAAAACAAACTTAAGCGTTTGCACGCACATCCATGGATTCAAAATGGGAAGTGTAATTTAGTACAAGCAGGGGCGGATACAGGAATTATTTTTGGGGGTGAGGGCGGGAGTTTTCCTTTCAATTTCTCTTAAATCGGGAGTAATGCTTTCTAGCTACACTATTGTCTCCTATATGTAACACTTAAATTTCTTTTACTTGAATTATCTTTTCAAATGATTTTCCCCATGTTGTTGTCTGGGGGGTCGACCACTTACCCCCCCCCCCGATCCGTACCTGATAAAGGCTTGGCCGTATCAAAGATGACTGACCACAAAATGACTGTGGGAGGTTGACACAGAGGTCAAGGACCTATTGGGTGAATGAGGTATGGACGTGCGACCTTAATGGACAGTATCCGCAAAGTTGCAGGTTCAAACCCCATTGAGGGCCTAAGCCTATCTATATTGATTTTTTTGTTCAGCCGAGAACTGTAACCCATTTTTATTGATATGTATACGAAGTTACATGCAACTTGTGAAATCAAATTCACGTTCTGCGCATTAAGGGTAAAATTCAACAAGGACAAACCTTTGTTTTCGCATGACAACGTTAAAAACAAGTAGCCCGCAAGCCAGTGCGATGCCCAGACCACACAGCGAGCAAATGGCGACAAATCCAGAGGTAGAGATGGTCACCAGTCTGTCCCCCCTTCGAATCTCGTCATGTGGTGGTTCACCGTCTACAGGAGCACAGTGGATCAACCATTATTGTTGCATACAAACACTGAATATTCAAGACGGCATTGTTGCGACGGATGTTCTGAAATTCTCCAAGTTTCGCTTTGCGTATAGTCGTCAAACCTGCATGGAGTTCTTGAGCTTAATCAGTGAAACGTGTTAAGCATAATTGGCCCCCATGCTGGCTTGTGCTGTGACAACTTTTGTTCAGTCTGACAGTTTCATATAATGTACACCTTTGCTTAATGTAATGCAAACAGCCCTTGCTTTATGAGTCATTCGGGTCGATACTTTGCAGTAGAGTACTGAACAGCTATGGCGTAACTATGTATTAACATGCTTCCAGTTAAGGCATGCAAAAATCCTTTAAAACTAGTTTTATTTTTGTGTTCTTCACTTGTGACCACTGACGCTCTGCACGATTGTGTCTAGATAAAAAGTCGAAATAGGTCACTGTAGCAACGTACCGGTATGGAAGAAGAGAACTTACAAACGAAAACAAATAATTAATGGAAACACAGTGCTTACTGAGGAAATAGATTCCCTCATCGATCCATTCAAATCGGTCTTCATGGGACAGGAAATATCCCACAGTTCCTGCAGTGCCACCTGTTTGAAGAAAACCCGAAGAAACATAATTACATTTTGAAGAAAACCCGTCAGCCACGAACACTAGCATTTGTTGTTTCTAAACGGACTTAGCGACTACTATGAATGTTCTGCCTTGAAAAATACAAAAGCAATCACTTTTTCTTTTTTACTAAAGATTGGCTTCCTCTTCAAAGATACTCCACAGCGCAGACAGTGATAAGTTAATGCAGCAAAACGCGAAGAACCTTTCCATTAGTACAAGTCTTATGGTTTGTGGCATTCCAGGACTCATGGGCGAACGATCGTTACAATATGGGGATGTGGGTGGGGCACTCTGTCCCTGGCATGAAAAACTGGAAAAATAAAGCAGGGGGAAAGGGAACAAAAAATGGGTCAGAGATAAATAAACGGAGGAGGTGGAAGCGCCACTTTTCGTGAAATGCCCCCTACTGGTCCCCCTCCACCCTTGACGGTTTGTGTGCTAATGTTCAGCTCTTCCCCGCCCCCTCTCTGGAGACAACTACGAGCCCCTCCTGGAAAAAACCCTGCTGACTCCCGTCATCGGAACAGTAACCGACTACAGGTATCGAAATTATATCATAATGCATTAAACTAAAGGCTTCACACTCGGAGACATACACTTGTCATCCAACCGATTTTGTGGAGACCAGCTGAAACGCTGTGGGAACAAAGAAATGAGCTCTTATCTCGGTCAAATTTTGCCCAACAATACGGGCGATTCACAACAGTGCGCTACCAAGAGTTTGCAACGCGTTGGCCAATCACAACGCGCGAAATCTGTTGACCCTTTCCAAACGGGCATTTTGCCGACAATTTCGCGCTTGGTAATTGGCCAACGCGTTGCAAACTGTGGGGGCGCACTACTGGGAAACGGCCGTGTTGAAAACGTCCCCATAATGCAGCAAGGGCCTACCATCCCTTCAAGTACACGTTCGGGTTGCAAATCCCGAGTGTGGACATTGCTTTGTCTTCATGTAGTCAAGAAAATTACTTTCCTCAACTCTTCTTCTTCATTTTGTGTTGGATAACCTTAACCCCAACTCTAAAAAAACACGAAGAATGGTAGATGAGACAAACGGGTGTGCTTTCAAAGACACGAAAGATTCTTCTCCAGTGAACTCCCAGTGTAATGTAGCAGGAATTTGATTCTGGGAGAGTAAGATGCTCTATTCCTGAATAGATCATAGCGCCAAATGTGATTGATGGGGTAGACGACTTGTTGATCACTGATCCCTCATTGTGGTTGAGATTTGTACTGTAAGGAGTTAAGCGGGCTTCACTTTAATCCAGGAAAGTCTCTTGAGTCTTTCTATAATTCTATGGCTCATGTTCTCAGACATTCAGCAATACTAATTTACTAGAGGGTATCTGTCTATTTGATAACTTGGATGTAGTTTGAAATTACAGACGAGTCTGTGTGATACTTGCTGTACGGCTACTCTCTGCATGCAGAATCGTGTACATTATCAAGCCGTAGCTTGATACCGCCATAAAAAAATAAATCAACGGATTTTTGTGTGAGCACGATACCTCTGATCTGCTCTATCTTGAACTGCCCCACTCGGTCTCCGTCCGTCAAGAAGCTTACCGGCCCCTGCGTGAAATTGAGAGAACACAGAATTTAAGTCTCCCCGAGGGGGGGGGCCCTCAAGTCAAACCTTAAACAGCCACAGTAAGACTGATTTGGAAATCTCATCAAACTCGAGCTCACTGCTCAAAATTTCTGAGATCGTAGTCATAAATCCCTGGGATGGGGTACATATCCCCCATTTTGACCAGGAGGAGTAGGCTATTGAGTCACCCCCCGTTTTTTTCGTCGTGAGAACAAAGGCGGATTGTGAAGAAATTTTTCGGACTTCCCACCGGTCAAAATGTACTCCATAGCACTAACAAGGGACAAAAAAATAAATAAATACCTGTTTGATGTAAGGATCTGCAAAAGTGTACAACAGGTGTATTACAGCCTTTTAATTCCCATGGTTGGGCAGGTAATTTCCCCTCCCAAACAATCCCTACCCCTAGTTCCCTGCAGAAATGTACGCCACCGCTCTTGCAAGCCAGGACAGTGCAGCTGTGCTATGCCGCGGTTCGATTTCCCATCCAAGCCAGTTCCACTGGGTCTTCAGTTCCCTGCCCGACTTCTGTAATTATTCCCCCTGAGAGATTCAGTCGGCTGCTAGGGAATTAACTATTCAAAGAAAGCTCACGGTAAAAGAGCCATCCATTTTTCCATTATTTTTTTACAAGTGTATTCGCAAACGGTTACAGTGGGGGCTTTAACCCTCAAAAAGCCGGGTTATTTTGGCCCATTTCACAGCCAGGGGGAGGGGCAGATTCCGCCCCAAGGACTCGGCTCTACGAGTTTGTTGAAACTTGGATGTAAATTTACATGTCATAAGTCTTTAATTGAGGAAATTTTCTTAAGACTTTCCTTAAAATTACACCAGGTCCTGAAATTGAAAGCCACACGCGTGCCAGCCTGTTTGCATATATTTTTAGTTTTTTCTCGGAAAAGTGGGCGCTGTGCAAGAAAGGTATGTTCAATTTTCACAAAATTGGTGTCAAAATGACCACAATGAGTTACTCTAAAAAACTCTTAAAGGCTAAGTTTCTGGAAAAATGTACAGCAGCGATATTGGATAAAAAAGTTGAGGCGGATTGCACTCCCTGCTCTTTAAAAGTTAATGAGGAGGCGCACTTTCGAAGATATTGAAAGTGAGTATACCTCGCACAGAAATTATAATATTTCTCCCTATCAGTTTGCTAGAAACAAAAACATGTTAATAAAATGGCTGGCCCGTAAAAAAGAACACAAGATTTATAAACAATTTACGATGGAGGGCTTACCGACACACCAACAAAATACAAGTCGTCTATCACCTCCATGAAGACCTGAAGCATTTCTTCGTCGTCATAGGTGAAGTCCTCCAGCGTTTTGTTAACTGGGGGAAAGAGGAATGGAAGGATTATCTTGGTTTGAATCCCTTCAATACTAAAATTCGGCAAAGCCTTGGTCTTTAAAACTGCACGATGAGGCGCAAATCAATAATTGATACTGCTTGTGCAGTCCGCCTTGAGCAGAAGCACCCCCTCATCGATTGAAACGAGCCATGTGTTGGTTAGGAGTGTTCAGGGGCGGGTTTGGAGACCCGTATCATAAACTTGTTTCAGCTTTGGTCATTGATTAAGCTTTTTCACGACTCGGTTATGACTCTGTGACGTCATTGGTTCGAAAAAATGAGAACCAAAAATTGGCAACGCCTGTTCAAAAAAGTGGCAAATAAACAGATAACTCACTCACTCACTCACTCAAAATGAGTGAATTATACTTTTCAAAATTTGTTGTTACATACGGCGAATCAACGAGATAGGCCTACTTTTTTTCCGAAACAAACGTGAAAAGAGAGAGCAGCACTGGCGAGAAACATGAGTAAAAATGACGTTCATTAACATTGTCGTTTTTGTGGATTACCCTCAACATGTTCCTGGTTATTGCCTTGACATCACAAACATGGTTCTGGTTTAGGGGCCGCTGGAGCTAGTACGCCCCAGTTGCTGGTAGCGACGGCCCGTAACGCGTGCTTTTCACAGTTGTTTGTGAAGCAGTGCAAAGGAGCCTCTGTTGCCAGCTTGGAGCTCATAATTTCAAAGTGGAAAAACATGTTATACGATTCACAAAATGCACATTCGCAAAATGACAGCGGAGCGCCTTTCAATTCTAAGCGGTCTCTATTTTCAATCCTTGCACTGTCAGCATGGACTATTAAAAATTCATCAGGCTTCAGCGAAGCTTATTTCTATCTACGAAGGTGTTATGAGACAAATAATAACTTGAATAAAAGAAGTGTAGGCAATCCTTCGAATCGGATGTAATAATGAAAAGCCAACTCTATGGGGCGATCCAAAATGAACCAGCGTGCACAACAACTCAAGACGTATTGACGTCACACTGACGTGGTCGGCCAAAATTAAAGGTGCAGCTAACAGACAGGATTGCTCTGTAACAGCAAACTGTATGTTCCTCAATACCCAAGTACCAAGTGCAACATTACATGTTTGATGAGGCTTCGGCTGGTAACCCTTTTGAGGCATTTGTTCGTGCTTAGCAGAGATATTGAGCCGTTCTTATAGTAGTCTCTTTTTCAATCTGTACTGCCCAAGCACTTTTACATGGATACCAACGGAATAACCTAAGCCTAAAGTGTTTACCAAGTTGCAAGCGCTCAATGGACTTGTTGAAGACCACAGCTGCCGTGAGCACTGCATCATACGCCGTCGATCCAGCGTCGCCAAAAGAGAATTCACCGGCGTACTCGTTATAGGTAGCCAAAAAGTTGGAGGGCGTCTAAAGGAAAAGAATTCGTCAGTCAGATTGACGTCATAATAACACAATAAAAAAAGACAGAAGTATATACATCACGATACATGAATAGGATATTGTGACTTTTGTACAATTGCTACAGAGACTGCGATTAAACAAAAAAGATTTTAAAATGGTTGACAGAAAGTGATTGGAAACCACAAAATAACACAAACACTGTGCTGTGTTTCACATTGATTCAGCAGATTAACGCTTTCCTTGAATTGTTGTCAATGAAAGAAGCAATCATGATGAAGTGTTTCGCTGAAGGACACCAAATCATCGCTTTGTGACAAGCTGACTTCAGGGGCTTCAGGCCGTGCGAACTGCCAAATTAGCCAACCTAGGAAACAAGTGACGAGGCCGCACGTGTGTTCTCGGGGAACATTAAGCTTCAACCAAGGACGAGCGCGTTCTCGTGCGATTGAAATCTCACATCCCACCTCTCCTCACCGGCATCATAATGCCATCCCGAGGGAAAGACTACCTTTTCACCTTGCTATCTGTGGCTCCTGAAATGTCGACAACTTTTGAAATATCAAATAGTCAAAAACCACTGATCGCATGTCAGCAGCAATCTGAATTTTACACAGCTCGATCAACGATGATATTCTTGACATTAAGCCGTAAAAATGTCGCTTCTCTCCTCCCACGTCGTAAGCGGTTAAAGTCAAGTAGGTGGTTAATGCACACCCGTATATCTGCAATTATGAAATCTCGTTGATTTAAGTCAAAAACCATCAGTGTCATTTCATACAACATAAGTCTAAAAGCTAAAAGCACTTGAAGCGTTCGTTGCTGACTTTCTTTTAAATGGATGTTACTTCGCCCAACGCCAGAAGGCCACTCAATTATAAACGAGCAGGTGTTTCTTTTTTGGCTGCGGGAAAACAGTTACAGTGGTTTACCCACCACACAAAATGAACAAAGATGAGCACGAGACAAAATGGAGAAGGTGAGCATTGGACAGAGTGAGTTTCAAGAAATGCATATATTTGCCATTTCAGAGCATTATAAGAATTAATTTCTAGAGAAAACATTCTGGGATGCCTTCCTGACGCCTTTTCCCACCCCTTCCCCGAATGATGACATTGCTGCCTGCTCAACGCATAGACATGCGGTGCTCACGTTTTATCAAGTCAAATTCGATTGAATTTCCTTGGGAGAATGATAATTATGACTGACAGATTAAGGCCCGAGTAAAAGTCAGCTTCTCGTAGTGGTTTAAAGAGGAGGAGGTGGCCCTCTTTTCAGACGGAGGATAGATTATTGTTACACCTTTGCCGATATTATTTTGTATCCAAAGGAGTTTTCACATTATGTAACCAGGATTAAGCTTGTATTTTTTGCGATTTATGTGTGATTAAAGTGAAAAAAAATTAACTACCCATCCGCCATACAATGAAGGAAGAGCACTTGAGGATGAGAAACTGGATTTGTTTCTTGTTTTGCTTCCACTAAAAATCACGCTGAACCGGAGGTACATTTAATTTTCGACACTCTGGGAGAGAGAGATAGAGGGAGAGAGAGACCGACTTTGAAGTAGGTTGGCAGGACATGGACACCCCCCCCCAGGCCCACGCCCCTCTGTTTCCCTTCCCACTCAGAAATGAGAGACATGGGGAAAAAATCTGGTTAAAGCGCGCCTTGGTCAGTGTTTTAACTGTGACCACGCCTGCTGAGTACTCCCCTCCTAGAACGAGTGCCCTCAAGTGCCCCCCCCTGTTAAAGATTCACCACCGTAACGCCACTACTGTCTGCTACCAGTTCCTTGCTGACGTTTTACACAACCAAAAAGGGGTTTATTTTACAACAACTGATGTAAAAACAGGTAAACCAGGGGGGTAAGAGGAAAGAGTAAAATCCTCATTGGTACATAAAAGAAATTTTCAGCTGGTTAAAATTTCTGCAATAATGATTTGGAAATCCCTTACAGTGCGGTTCGTATCAAATTGTTTACTTTTTACATTTGAAAGTTCAAATCTGAAAAAAGAATTGTAAATCTAACACCAGTATTTTTTCAATATTCTTGTTTGCATTATACATTGTGTTGGATTTAGCGCCGCCATTGGAGAGCTGAACATTAATTTCCAAAGTTTTGCATTTGATGTTAAGTGTTGTTTTGCTTCGACATGAATGTTATCATCACAAAAAATTTACACAATGTTTATGAAAGAGTAACCGGACCTCAGACAGTGTTAGCCATCTTCACTGGACTGGGCATTTCACCTCCGAAATAACTGCCTTTAAACACAGCTTACATTGTGAGAAGCATCGTTTACGGAAAATAAGCATTCTTTTATTAAAGGGAAGAAAGGCAGAGCATATCGTAGTGCCTACCCTGCCTGTAAGTGCCGTGTCTTGAGTCGCTGGTAAGAAGTGCCAGTTGGTGATAACAACACCCTCCGTGGCCAGAGTCATTTCCTCCGGGGTGCACGATATCGCGGGGTCTGGCCGGATTGCCCAGTCCGGAGCGAAGTACCCGATGCCCCTCAGGATCCAAACGTAGCGGGCGCCGTACAGACCTTGCTTGTAGGCCTGCAGAAATTCGAAAAAAAATAGTCCCAAGAAAAGAAATCACAGTCTGGCTATGACGCAGACAAGGGTGGACCTGGGGCGGGGGCGAATGGAGACCATGTTCCCTCTCCCAATTAGGAAACGACCAGAGCAAGGCGATCTGAGGGTCACTTACTTACATTTTACTCCCTTCAAAAGGCGCTTAAAAAGCCCCCAAAATGTAGCTTCATTCCTCGCAGAACCAATCAAAATGACATGAAAGCTATTTTCAAATTTTTGTGCTACCCCCTGTAAGGTTTGGTACCTTATGATCTCTTGAAACTTGTAACTTGAAACTTATGTACCTTATAAAAAATGGATCGGAATCTGCCCCTCGAAGTAGACTAGAAATGTGGTCCCAGTGAGTAATTTCTGGCCCAATGTAGGTTATACCAAGCACATATGCCGGCACCTATGAATGCCTCTAGGTGCAGGATAAGATTTTTTAAAATGTAGGGTAGCGTGCCTGAGGACACAACATTTCCAACTCAGCTGCAGGATTGAAACTCAACCGTCTGAGCCTAGTTATATAGGCTACCAACTCTAACTTCAAGTGCTTCTGTGAAGCAGCCGTAAATATACCAAAATATAGGCCTACCAATAATGGGGATAAAGAGGATGAGTGCAGAGGGTTTTCATTCTAAGGAATCATTTGGTAGCTACCAAATGTTATTCAAGTGGCGAGGTAACTACCAACCTTACCATGATATTTAGTATCGTTTTTCATACGTGCCATAACGTTTACTATTTTGTAATGGCAGGCAGTTATTTCACTCCCATTCATGATACCATACGGTCAGTCGATGTAACGAGTTCACCGTACGAGTGACAGTCATGTTGAATAGTACTTGCCGAGTGATTTTTGCCTTCATCAACACAATGGTGCTGTCTCAACACTGAAGGAAATTAAAAACATTTATTTGTTTGGGATGCTCCATCAATATAATTATGCCATCTGTTAAAAAACTGAAATTATTACTTGAAATGGAAGTATGGAAGATTGCGTAGCTTATTTTCGTCGGAAAAAAGAATTAGAAGGCCGTAAGGGTTTCGATCCTGGCGGAATCGCTCTCGAAGGCCAAAAAAGAGTCTTACCCGTCCTAATGAGCTATGTATTTAGTTACAAATAACGGAATCAAATCTCTTCTTTTGACATGTCGAGTCCTATAAGGCTCTAGCTGTTCGTTATAATTAGGAAGTGTGGTTGCTTTGGTATCGAGATGAATATAACGGAGTCGCATCTCTGCTTCATGTCGTGTCGAGTCCTGTGGGGCTCCGGCTGTTCGTCCTTGTTTTCCTAGCATGAAATAATCAGTAGCGTGTCCTTATAAGGCGTCCCGTGCCCGCCAGAAGGGCAGGAGGCAATTTTCTCAGATTGCACCGGCTGGCTTAATTCGAAATATCTTTCTGCCCATCAGCATACCAGCTGACCTTACCTCGCAGAAGACCTGCCTTCCTTGCTCGTCCCAGAACAGACCGATGATGATGCGTGCATCCCGCTCCTGAAAATAAGCACAAAACACAACCACAAGTCAACAACATTGAAATGCCCAAAATACGACCAAAGCAGATATAGAATCCGAAACCCTTTGGGGGGCCCCCACGAACTTTCCACCCATAAACATTAAGGCCTCTTCAAGGGATGCGACTGCATTTTACAGATTTCAACACGCTTCTGGAAGGATGGGAAATGAATTATGTAAAAAAGTTCGCTGTTCTTTAAACTTGTTTAGATTAGATTCTTGTCTAGATTTTGAGTGTTTCTGGTCATTCCATCACATTTGAATTAAGGGACAATTTGACAACATTTAGAAGCAAATTGGTTACTTTCTTAACAATTCTGAGCGAACATTTTGACGAAAAGCCAAGTGCCCGTCTTTCTGTGTTTTCACAAAGTGACAAATAGTCACCTCTTTCGGAGGGCCAGAGGGATAGCAATCATTCGGGATGCAAGCAAACCTGGGCATACGCGCAAACGAGGTTGAAAAATATTACGAACGTGAGTCACGGTAATATGCCACCCATCAATGCAAACCCAGGCTCAACCTGAAGAATTATGAGCTATGATCCTCAAAACGATACTATGGTGGCCCTGGAGGGGCATCGCCAATGGTTAATATTGCCGTCAATAATCAAGACCAAATTCACGACTTGCTCTCTGGTCGCGAATATTGCGGTCAATATTTGCGACCAACATTCACGACTCGCTCTTCATTCAGTCGCGAATATTGACGGCACTATTCTCGACCAGAGAGCGAGTCGTGAATTGTTCGTGAATATTGGCGTCAATTTTGACGATTGGCTGTGTCCCCCCAGGGCCATGATATGAAACCCATATACGCACGAACGACGTTAATTCCACAGCTTTCATTGCCAGTAACTGTAACAGCTTCCTTGCTTTGAATCGCCTCGAAGAATGAGAATTAATGCTGTGGAGTGTCCTTATCAAACAACAAAGTCACTTACTTCAGCCTCGTCTTGGAATGGTGGGTTTGTAGTAATAATTTATCACGTTCGTATCACGAAGTGAAATTTCAAAATTCCGTTACAATGAAGGCGAAAGCGTGTTTTGAAAGAGAGATTTTAGTTTTCGAAATGCGATTATCTCTCAATGTCTGTTTCGCAGCGTACGGAGGCTCTCGTCACTTCTTGAACAAATAATTCAGGATTCTTGGACTTATAAATTCAATTATTTGGATAAATTATATAATAATCCTTTTGTAAGTTAAATTTGAATAAAATCTGGTACACTGAGCTATCTGATATCACACAAACATACAAATTTGACTTCCTCACACTAAAGACACTGATGGTTATCTCGTGATTCGGGGCAAGCTTTAGCATAGCGACCACCTTCTCTGGAATGGACTGGTTCCTTTGTGCCCCTCTAATCCCTGAAAAGTGTATAATGCAAGGCGTCTCCTATGTAACCAAGAATAATCTTTCCCGAATCTCGAGGTACGGCAAAAGTGTCTTTAGTATGGAGAATTCAAATTGTTATGTTCGGCGTGAATTTAAAGAATTTACGATACACGATTTTATTCAACTTCAACTCGCAAAAGGCTAATTACGCCCAGACCACGGCTGCATCCAAATCCTTTGACTACGGGAAGCAACAATAGGTGTGTCTCTGGGGAATCGGATTTAGCCACGTTGCTAGCAGATCCCATGCAATAGGCACGTGCAGTATTCGTGGATAGCAATCCGAGCACCGGAGCGTAATAGGAAATAAGCGGTAATAGGAAATAAGCGGTAATAATGTCTTGTATCAAAAGGCTACAAAATACAGTCCGTCCTGATGAGGACAGAGATTCCCGCTTTGGAGTCGATTCTATCGATGACAGTCAAATCGCCGGACTTATAAACCCGAAGAAAATAACTCCATACTTTTCATGGACCTGTTGGAGGTTTGTTAACCCTCTACAGCCGCAAACCATTTCGCACATACAAAAATTCAAATGGGAAATTCTGACAACAGAGCAGGATCAGTAGATTCTCTGGACTATTTTAATGCACTTAGCCGTAGGTAACAGATGACGCCCGTCTGGCGATAACTGTCTCTAAGGCTCAATGGACTTTGCATCCACACATTATGGCTCTTTCATAATCGAGCCGAGACTACAGTTATGGCGTCAATTTGCACTTTGAGAAAGCCTTTACCACTCAATATAAAAAGACGGTTGGATATAAGGCGACGTCCCCAAAGGATGCAATGCAAAGAAAAAGGATAATAAGAGAAAGCCGATTTGGGAGTCCATTTTTTCCGTCAAAAAGCATGTAAAAACCACAAAACGCACTCTCTCCCCTCAGAAAGGCCATAAAAGATTACCTAGAAAAATTTCAAATTGTTTGGTCCCCAAAACAAGTTTGCCCCTCTCCGGAAATTTGGTTCTTGACCCCCCTACCTAAACAACGACCTGTTGTAATTTTCGATATCGACCTGACAGACGATTTTGTTATGTTGAAAGTTTCAACAAAACCTTACACGGGTCTCAAATATCGTAAGTTTGTGCTGAAAATTGGGGATGGGGGATCGTGTGGGACGTGACACTAGGGGGCGATATCCATGAAATAGATATACGTCTGCAGGACCTTATATCAAAAAAGCTGAGACTTATGGTTTTTAAAAAAAAATTGGTATGCCTCGCTGCTTGTTAATGAATTCATTTTGGTTGATGGGGAGTCTAAAAATTCCTCACAATCCACTTTAATCTTTCTCACTTCGAAAAAGTGTGCAGGGATTGTTTTCATAGCCCATTCCTCCAATCAGAAGTGGTGCGGCGACGCGCTTTTCTTTTGCCCTCACTTTTTTTCTAGAAATGATGTACGTATAACGCGCGATGTCCATCGTGAATGCATGCCCACGTAACCAAAGATTTATAGACGGGCCCCCGCGCTTTTAACTGTTTATAAGCATTTTCAGCTTGCACATGAATGTACACAGGACATAAGACCACCCCGTTTGTCTGGTTCTCAGATGTAAATGTATTATACAGAAATGGCGTCATCTTAAAAAGAGTGCCCGACTAAAAGTGTGGGGAACTAGTGGGACTCCTTTACTGTACATATTACTCAACCATACCCTATCAAAACACGTCAAAATCATGCATGAAGTAGCAGGATTCCGGTCGATGAAGCAAGTTTGGCATTTTGGCAGTTTGGCATCGTTCTATACCAAATAAAAACTATTTTATTTGGCCGACGCGCAGGTCTACGGCGATGGGCGCGCTGGCCAGAAACCTTTTGGGCCGAAGGCATGACCTCTACACTAAAGAGAATATCACCACAAATATCTCCAGTCGGGATTTTTTTTGTTCGCGTGTCAATACTACTCGTGTCCTTAATGCATGATAAGTGATCAGTAACTACCTTAAGATATGCAATGTGATTGCTCGGGGTGTCCTCGAACATTTCGTTGGCCACAATGCTGATATTGTTCACACGGAGTAAGTCACGCAAAGATTCCATAACCTGGAAAACAATCAGTTTGAGGTTCTTGTTAGCTGTCAAAGGTAACCAGCATTTATGAAATGAAACACCCTGATTAAAAGTCTGCTGTAGGCGACAACCCCACGATAATGTTGCAACCCTCTTTTGAACATGAAACCCTACATCCGTGCTTGCTTGTTTGCTATTCAGGATCAGAATCCAACTCGAAACGGTCATACTAATGACATTTCAACACACTGACCTACTTTACTTCACGGTTTTATCATGTGTAAACGATATGCTATCAACCATAGAGAATGCTGGATTTCCAGAGAAAAGAATAGTCACACCTTTTTGTCAAGCTTTAAGATATGCACGCGATTTCGAGAAGAGATGTCAGCACCGACCCCCAGGGAAGGAGATCGCCGCAAACAACTTTTCATAGGCTTTTTGTATGTTGGAGTTACCCCCCTCTCTTTAATGATGTATTTTACCGTCGATCTCACGAAAAGGGTGTTACGGGTTATGGTGAGAATCTGTTTGGATCTTTTCTGAAATACCTATTGCAAATCGATATTTATCGTCACTTTTTAATAACAAAAATGTTTCATGGAGATGCCTGCTCTAAGAGGATCTATAATTAGTGGCAGCCGATGTGAATAGAAAAATCTACACCGGATTTTCTAGAGAATCTTACCGAAGTGAAAACGACATTGCTGTATCGAATGATAGCCACCCGGTCCCAGTTATATTTGAGGAGCAGGCGAAGGCGAGGGACGTTCTGCTGGGTGGCCGACTGCACGGTGCGGTAGAAGGTTGGGCACTCCGTGCGGTCGGATAAACTTGGCGACACTGCGCCATAGCTGATCTGTGGAACGGCGCAGAACGAATTCAAAATAATTCTCACTCGAGGTCGAGGGTCCCACGCGCAGTTGCATATACAGTCGGTTTTGCTGTTTGAAAACTTAGCTCGCAATCTACCGCATTTGGCGCTTCCTATGGAGAGACACTTGATTTCAAGTGAGTTTAATTTTTTGTGCACTCCTGAATAGAAATAAAAGACTGTTTGGAGCTGAGGAGAGACAACCGGAAAACCTTGCAAGGTTGCGCACAATTATTCATCCGGTGACTCGGAATCCAATTTGAGTCCATTTGCAGACACTAAATTTTCAGCATATATCAATTTTTGGAGCATTCACTTTCGCTTCTTCCTATAATGAAACGCCACCATTATGATTCGGCTCTGTTTCTCCCGTTGAAATCTTATTACCAAATAAAGCTAGCTCAGTATTATAGGTAATATAAGATTTCTAATGCATAATAATAACTTATATTCATGATAATAATTTATAATGAAAAGCGAAGCGTGGATTTGCAAAACTGTGATCATAAAATAAAAAAATCGGACTTGAATTACGACTCGATCAGTAAAACATTGGCAACCAAGTCAAAATGACCAGTACTGAAATGTAGATAATGGGTAAAAATTGTAAGTGTGGTACAGCAGCACAAAACGTCAACCTACAATCACTATGTCTTCCACCAAAGACAAAGATAAAAAGGGTTCGCTGTTTTCACCGATGAATAGCAAAACTGTTCAAAATAGTTCCAGATAGCCTGTTTGTAGCCATTTAAAATAAAATGAAATAAAATCTCTTGCAGGCTTTTCTTGATCAATGGCTGTTGTTTCAGAACCATACGCTCCCAAGAATTTGTCATTCAAATCCTAGCTCGTGATCTGACGACCCTTTATAATTTCCCAGCCGGAAGGAATTCCTCCCTTTAGCCAGTATAAAACACAGACGATCTCGGAAATATAGTCAAACGCTATTTCGACAAAATGCCTACCTGGATTACATTGAACCGGGCGACTGCTCGGCACAGAACGGCGCATTCCTCGGAGTAGAAACTGCCCAGGAGGAAGGGCATGGGCCTATCGGGGCCATCGTAGAAATTGCTGTAGATGATGTAGTCGGCGTTACCAGAGCTGGGCTTGGCAGGTTCGTTGGGCTTTTATGTGAAGAATAATGGGAAAAAAGAGAGGATAACTCCAATGAATTATATTTATTGCACAGTAACCAGGTTTGTCACGTCCAGAAATAATGTTTCTGCTTTCACCAGACGTAAAAATAGGTATTTATAATCAGCTAGTTTGAGAAAATTGATTACTTATATTCTGCATACGAGGAGCATTCTAGCTCTTGTATTATTTTATTATATTTAGCTGCAAAACTTCAATTAAAGGATCACTGCAATGAAGTTTTATTAGATTCCCTTTTTGTTCACGTTTAAACTCTCCAGTGTATGAAAAAAAACTGTTTAATTTGTTGGGGTTACGTGAACTGTAAAGTGCATTCGAACATTCAAAGTTAATTCAGCATTTCCAGAGAGGTGTGGTTTACAGTGTGATGAACACTTTCCAGTTTGCATGTTTTCATGTTCAAATATTGAACCCAAAAGTTGCTTTTAAACAACTTCTGAGAAAAGGTTGCTCACTGGTTCATTGCCATATGCTCATAAAGCAATAAATTGCCAAAGGAATTAGAAACAAAAATCTGCAACGGCCAAGTATAAAAAATCTAGCATTTTTTCTGCAAAAATCAGTATGTAACATTGAGGTTCAGTGCTTAGGATTACATCACAGTTTTGCTTATGAATATGCAAATTCACACTGGCATAAACACTTGAAGGCCTCCAAATACAGATAAAAACTAGGAAATCAAAATATAAGGATAAGGTTGATTGAAACACAAAGGTACAATTTCAAGGATTTTGGTAAAACATTTCTACTACATGGTCCCTTTAATTTAAGTCAAATCAGAAAGTGTCTTTACTGGTTAACTACCTGAAGGTCAAGTTAGGTCATTTCTCAAAAGCCGATTAAGCCTGTTCGTCGAAATAGAAATCGCCGAGAGTATTTCAACCTTCCGTGCAAAACTAGAATTCCTAACTGACCTCTCCGTGCGTAAATGGATTTTAGAAAGGTGCTTATAATTTAAGTAGAGTCAAAGTGCCCAAGGGAAATTTCTCCGGCCTTTTCCCTTCTTTTTGATCTGCTTTTGGAGCGCAGATTCAACGGTCGTTAATTGGCGAGAGTGACCGGGCTTATGGATACGTTCTCGCAGATTCCGGGTTGGACGAACACTTCCTGGCAAGCGTCAATCCCATTGTGGCTGGTAATTGTTTTCCGGCTAAAATGATCTGACAATTTGCCCTTGGCTTCTTTCGCTCTGTGTGCGAAACGGATCGTCGATGACTGCCAATATGGTACAGAACAGTCGCCGCAATCTACTACAATATCCTCAAACCACTCAAGGCCATAAACACGGTCATGCCATTGGTTCGGCAAAAGTAAAAGAAAAAACACTATCTGTCAGATATAATCAAATATAACGTTCAATTCAAATGATGAGAAAAAAAGATCTCATATACTGGTTTCTAACAACCTCAAACAATTGCCTGCAGACACGGTCAGACCTCGTCCACGATTGTTTACGGTGTTGGCGGGCGCCAGCAAAGTGCAGATGTTGGTGTCCCTCGAAGTAAATTAGCTTTGTAATACATCCCGTCTATTTGAGCAGGGGATTTCGCCCCAGACAATATTTGTCATGAATTCATCGGGGACGACGGTTTCGGCTAAAAACATATTCGCTGCTAATCAGTCTTTGTTAGTTTTTGAATGAAATGTTCAAACATTTTTAACCATAAGCAAGACTTACATCTCTAGAAAAAAAACACGTACATGTATTGCAATTGGAGTCTTGTTGTGGTCCCACATGAATTCATGCTGATTCAACCATTCTCAGCCAGTCTGATCCTCGGACAATTTGTTACCAAAGCGAGCACTCATCGCTTCTGAAAACTAATCCATCTTGCCAACTTCCAACTTTCTAATGCCCAAGTTAATTTCAATTGAGAGAGTTAACGACATACCACGGAAGCACTGATTTTCCCGTGAAGAAAAAAAAACACCTATGGCGCGTCAGCAAATTACGGAAGCGTATACAGGACATGACTGGAAAAAAATTAAGGCCTGCTATTTCGCCCGGGCGAAATACTAAATCCACCAGGGCGAAATACTTATCCACCCAGGTTAAATAACAGGCCCAATTTGTTTTTCAATCGTGTCCTATATACGCTTCCGTAGCAAATGCTATCCGCAAGGCCACAAATCAGGCCTAAGAGAGCTTCCAATAGTGCCAGAGTTACAAGTCATCTCTCAAGTAACGGGAAAAAAATTCTGGGATGAAAGCCATTCGTAAGCAACAACGGAGAAGTTGTACATTCCAAACACTTCTTCTTTGCGGGGACAGAAACATGAAAAGAATTTTTGCCCGTCGAAAACAAAGAAGCTGGACGCCCTGTACGAAGGTCTTATTTCTTGGATTGGTTCGGAGGATGAGAAAAATATTTGCCTCAGGAAGACCTTGGTCAAAGAACAATGGGGCTGATTTTGGTAAAAGCAAAAGATAACCCAGTTACGCAAGCACATTTGATCACCCCCCATACAAACAGCAATGTTGAGAGTCCTCTTCTTTTATGGCTTTATTGTGGTGCCCTGGAGGAAACGGGGCTACATATGTTGATAACAATCGTTGACAAAGCACAGGAAGTCTTTTCAGAAGATGATCACGGCTGCTCACTAAAGTACCTCGTTGCATTGGCATTGAGCGAGCTCACAGCAGAGGGGATAATATGCACTGGGTGATATATATGATACCATGGGAAAAGAAAAAAAAAGGTACAAAATCTGAAAAAAACCCAGAAATCAAGGGTTACGACGGCACTTCATTTTCCAACAAGGAGTATCAATTGACAAACAAAAATCACTGTAAAAAAACCTCACTGTAAGTTCCGACCTTTTCATTTTTAATGTTGAGTTGGGGGTGTCATTCGTTACAATGCGTTTTGGAAACCTTCAATGCCAGTGCAGCCTCTTTGTCAACCAGACAGAACAAAGGGCGCACGCCTGCTCATTGTTCCTGATCCTTAACTGACAACGCCCGTAAATAAGTCAACTTTTTTCCCGTGTAACATGATACCCAAACAGGTGGTTTACAAATTACGTCTGGTGCATAATTTAGATTGTCTGCCGTCTCCGATTCTGGAATTGTCATTACAAATTGACTCTACTTCTTGGTTCCGATACGAGGGGTAAAAACCCTTTTTAATGTACCGCCAAGCCTTCTGGTTAACACGATCAAGAAAAATAAGGAAAGGGGCACCTTTTTATATGCTTTTTTATATCCGAAACTTCAGAATCATGATTTCACATGATATCCTTTACAGAACTGGAGGGAAACTTACTTATAGCCTATGTCTCGATATGCTTACGTTTGAATTGGTATGAACCGTTGCGGTCAAATCATCTTGTATTAAAGCCAGTCATTTTGCTCATTGGTCACGTAGACTTCACTGAATCATTATTTCAGCCGGTCCATGAAAATGAACCCACGATGAAATCAGTATTACTGGTACTTTAATGGAGAATTCCATCTCTGCTTTGCCTGGAATGCTGAAATCAATACCAAAATAACGCAGAATCCATCTCCCTCCGAGTCTACGACCCATCTGAATTACCATAACCTTAAAGCCTGGTTTCCATATGGTCGTTTGTAACGCAGACGTTCGACAAGACTTTAATATTGACGCAGATAGACGAAGTGAAGACGGTGCATGACGCCATTCCGCCCAAAAATTGGAGCAAAACGGCGTCCACAACTCCATGATTTCTTTTTGCTGAAAATACCCTTTTAGATTGACTGTACCGCCTCGTGTACCTTCACTTCAGTGTGATGCCTTTCACTGATGGTCAGCCATTTAGTTGATCGTAATTGTGTAATATTTAACCATTAAGAAGAAAATGGGCACAATTCGTGAAACTAAGCGAGAAGATATCGCTGCATGCCGGTTATGGGTACTCGTGGCAGAAAGCCGATCGTTCGCGGGCTGGTTTGCCTTTGTCTGCGTTGTCGGCGACACCTCCGTTTGGCATGTTTCCATACGTCCGCGTTGTAGTTTGTGTCTTGGTCGCGTTGCTATTTGCTTGTCTTACGTACGTTGATATGGAGACCAGGCTAAACAAGCCAACACACAGTATAGTCTGTACTTAAGTGCGACAACTAACAATGCATGCAAAGCACAGGCATATTAAAAGATTAAATGTGTCGAAAGTTTCTTCTAAAGACAAGGTACATCACCATTGTTTTTAACACAATAATACTGATCACTGAATGAAAGTGCCCGCTAAAGGCTAGCTCACGATTTCTGGCGTCGGTAGCCCCTAGTTAACCGTAGGCGTGTTCATTGTGACGAATCTGGAATACCGGGCCCGATTGCAACTTCTGACAGATACTGAAGGTTAATTTACGGTGAGGATACAAAACATCGAGAACATTTGCACAAGTAAGAAGCAGATTCATACCAACATATGGTACGACCTCGCACAGTTTTCTACGATGTATACGGTATGGTTCCACTCCGTTGGATTCAGGAATACTTCAACCGTATAATAATACTGTACAAGAGACAATACGGCCGTTTCACAATAGTGCGCCACCAAGAGTTTGCAACTCCTTGGCCAATCACAATGCGCGAAATTGGTCGACCCAATGCGCGTTTAGAAAGGGTCGACAAAGTTTGCGCCTTACGATTGGCCAACGTGTTGCAAACTCTTGGTGGAGCGCTATTGTGAATCGCCCACATTATCCTCGTTGCACGTGCGATTGCAAAAAGATTGATGAAGATTCATCACCTTTCAAGCAAAACGTATCAAAACGAGTAGTGGTACTTAATCGCCATAAGATGCAGACACGATTAAGGGAAAGCCAAACATGTCTGAACGGTGGCTGTAAAATATACCAGATAAAATTACGATTGCCTTAGGACTGCAAGATGTTATGAAAATGGTTTCGAACATGCTAAAAACATTCGTAGCCCCTCTCAAGGTTCTCCGCGATTGACGCAGATGTCGTCATGCATTATTTCGTCCACAACGCTTTGCCAAGCTTTGACAACACTTTGCAAATCGGAAGCTTCCGGGGCCAAGATTGTGGCAGCGTGAGTTTGGCTTTAGAAAGTCCGTTTTAATTACTCGTTATCTCGGGGTTGTCCATTTTTTTTAAAACATCGATTTTTCTTTTCCGAGCGACTTTTAAGGAATATGATGTTCAGCAACGAAAAAAAAATTTTTGGTTAAACATTGCATGCGGTTTAAAAAGTGCCTTTTAGTGCTGTGTTATTACAGCGCACGACAGCTCAAAAAGTCCTCAGCAAAATCTTGTAACTACCAATATCTGGAGACGTGCCAGCTAGTACGTCGATTGCACATTACGCATTTTTCGACTTTTCCGATCCCAGCCACGCGAAATGTGCGCGCGGCGCTAGGATTGGCTCCCGGTCGCTCTCCACATTGCTAACACCGCACAAGCTGGCGATGTGTTGTGTTGAAATTACTCTTCATTAACCGCTCAGTCACAAAAACGCATGGGGAAAGTAGCTCCCGTCTGCCTTCTCGTTTCGATTAGGAGCTGCACGCTCTTCGTGAGAAATAAAATTAATTACATTACATGATATCGTCCACCAGGTTTTTCGACTGATGTCTCATTGGAAAGCTTATTAAAAGGCAAGATCCTAGAAAATTATCAATAACATATGAAAATCTGTACTCCAAAATCGCAGACGATACATCCGCGTGAATTAACTTGTATGGGTATTCTGATGCCACGGCCTGCACGGTATCATGGTTTTCAGTTTGCTATTGATAAATTAATAATATTACATTTCTCTGTGCCGTCCATCCTGCATTCAATCAAATTTGCAGCGAAGCAGCTTTCTGCGTGAGTGGTACCTGTGAGGAAATCAACATGTTTGTATTTTGGTTTGAAACGTTTAAACAGTCACGAGGATACATAGAAATCGATTTCGGTGGTTCATATCCGTGAACATTGAGAAAAAAGTGTCCAAATCGACTCAGGTGGACTTCAAAATGTCAAATGGGACGAGACTGGTCGATCAGCACGACCAACCTTTGAGAGGCTTTGTAAAAAAAAATCTCGCGATGCTGAGTTCGTGACGGTTGTCGCCACCGCTTAAAGATGGATTTCACCATGATTTAATGACCGGATGGATTTCACCATGATTTAATGACCGGATGGAGTGAAAGCAACTAAAGGGTTGGCGAAAACGTCAGATTTCAAAATACAAAACGTTTTGAAGTCTGTGTCCTTGAGACCCTTTGAGATTGTACCGTACCACTGAGAATATTCGACTTTGATTTGTTTGGCCATTAAACGCATCACACAGCAAAGATGTGTACAATAATTATTCGCTTCAGAGGCAGGCGGACATCGAAGATGGCGACCGCCGAGAGATACGTATAATCAGCACAAGCAGACAGACCATTGGTGGTCAAAGTTTCCACAAAATCCAAATTTTACCTAAGAACGATGCATTTGCCCCACTTGGAGTTGGTAATGCTGTGTATATTGGTGTCTTTGTACCACTTCACGAATTATTTTTTTGGCTTTCGATGACAAACAGCGATAGCTTTAGCGGCCACTAGTTGGAAAAAATGCAACTACGACGAAGAAAGGACTGACTATAGCTGGACGTTTCAAGAGTCTGAGAATCGGCCGAGGAGGACGGGCCTTCGGCAAGAATTAGATGTAGGCCTGTGTTCCAAAGCATCAGCGTTCCCTTCCAATGAGAAACCAGCCTCTGAATATCATTCGGCATCTGAATGTCATGTATGGCCGGGTACTTCATCCCCCACGATCTTTTCCCCCAGTTTCCAGCACAAATTCAAGTCACTGGTTGATTCTTGTCTCACAGAAAGGTTTGAAAAAGCGAGAGTACCTGTAAACCTCTTTGATGTTCATTACCTTCGTTTCGTTAGAACCGCCAACGAAGCTATTCACATGCGGGGAGCGACTTTAGAAATTGCGGGCTCTGGCACTTTGGCAAATTGCAGACGTCGAACTAGCGGGCCCGGTCGATGACATATGCGAGGCACTAATAAAGTTAACCTTGCTTGGGCCAAGGGGGTTGGCATTGCAATTAATACTACATAGAATTGAATTACACTTCCCCTAGTCCCGTGCACAAACCTTGTGCGGGTATGGAAAGGGTTCGTCCAAATCACTCTGCCCATTCTGTTTTGAAGCCTGGACGGGCTGACGATTTACTATTCAAAAAGTACATTGCTGATCAATTAAAGGTCGCAGATTATGCTACATGTACCCACCAAACCAGTTTTCATATACGACTGACATGAAAAATGGGTAAAATCTCATGTTGCTTTATTTCATAAGGCAAATATAAATCGATTTTAAGGGCAATGTTTTATTGCCAGCGACAAGATACTTCGAATATCAAGTCTGCTTCATTTCGAAGTTTTGAGGAAGAGGAACGGATGTGTTAGTCTCTTGAGGAAAAGAACGATCAATGCAATTCAAACATAATTTATTAAATTAAATAATTCGTTACTTGAAATTTGCATTTCATTTCATTTCAATTACACTGTGATTGTGATACTGGACTGCATGTTCACTCATCAGGACAAATCGAAAAATGCTTGGAAAAATGCCTATGGCTATTAAATAACGCCATCCATTGAAGTACATTTCATTTCTGCTCAAGTCACGCGGTGATTGGGATGTGCATGCTAAGAGCTACTGGACTGCATGCTGTCATCAAGACATGTACACCGGAAATGCTTGCAATAATGCCCCTGGCTATTTCTGGGTGAAAATAGGCAGTGCGGACCTCGGTCGAAGTACATAATCTCATCGACTCTGTGTTAAAAACCTCAGCCAAAAGATGGCGCACAGGCACACTCAAAAAATCTCTTTGTCGTCAGAAGGACGTTTCCTTGGCCCGAGGGAGCAGCGTGCCGGAACTCCTGCACTTTGAGTCAGTATCCAGTATCGCTTCATCTCCCTGAATTACACAGAAAAACATTTTCATCATGCGTGAGCCTGGAGACCAAGGAAAAGGTAGATTTATGAAATCCAATCACCAGTTAATTTTTGGCGACCGCTTCTATTTCTTATTACTTTTTCATCTCTTATTTTTATTTCAAAGCAAACGGCACGTACTACCGGCCACACTGACGTGCTTATAAAGGATCACAAATAATTATTTTCTTGTTAGAAACTCAAATAATCTCCTGTATAAACATACATCCATTTTTATGATTCTTTTGTTGACACAGTAATAAATTCTACTTCTCTTTTCTCTCATTAATTTAGCCTGCATTAAACGATTGGTAGAAGTCAAGTCAAACCCTATCAACTCTTTTCTCCATAACATCGATTGATAGTTACAGAGTTGAAAATGCTTCCATCTGCGTTCTGGGACAATCTGATTTTCCATTTTGCTGTCCGTAGTGCATTTCGTAACGTAGTCAATAGAATAAAATTATAACGGTAGTTGACAGTGTCGCTGGTTACCTGACAAGGCCAACCCTAATTTTGGCCTGCCATCTGGCCTGCAGGTCGTTGAATAGGAAAGAGAAAGAAACTGCAGGTTATCGTTTCCTTGAATTATTGTACAAAGGCCATGATTGAATTAGTTACAGCACAAAAATAAACATGGAAGGGCAGGCGATTTTGCGCTGCTTTGAGAATTTGGTGCCCGTCAGATGCGGACGAGAGCCGGTGTGTGCTTTATCTAGCTTTTTCCAAGCGTAACTTTCCTCGCAGCCGATGGATATTCTGAATGAGTCGAAATCAAATTAAAAGTTAGAAAGATTGTCTCCAAATTAAAAAAATGCGATGTGTCACACGGTATGTCTCAATTTAAGCTGGGCA